TTGGATAAGCATTGCTTAGAAAAGTACGCCTTCCCAGACCGATGCGAGGCTCCCTGCCTGTCCTGACTCGCATCACCACTGTCGACCAGGTAGTAATTCACCTGGCTGCCGTGACCGGAAGAACCACGGTCCCTCACCTCGACGGGGACATCGTTGATTACTGTTTATGGCAACAAATATCGCCCAGCACGGGAGCCTGCGCGTTGCGACCAGTCACGGCTTGCGAACGACTCGCGAGTGGAGCTGAATCGGATATCACTTGCACGGTGCTGTGCGCTGCAGAGATCCACCATGATCCATCTTATCTCCACCGACCGATCCGAGTAAGGGCGGGTTTGCGTCCACGGTTGAACGTTGAGACGACAGCGATTGCAGTCTGATGGCATCAATGATTCTGATTGCTATGGATTGGTAAGTCTGATTGCTGTGGCAAAGCAAAGCCGCAATCTTGTGGCTTAGCCAGGTAAGGTATGCCTTCAAAAATACCCTAAAGAGTACGATGTCCATTCATTATTTCCCAATAATACACTGTACTCTCAATAGCAATATTCATCCAGTAGAAAAAAACTGCCTGCATTCCTGAAAAAAAAAATAAAAACCCAACGCCAATCTAACTCCATCGATATTCATTTAATTTAACCGTTCAGCAGCACCCACCTGCAGAAAACGGAGAACACGCGGAGGATTGCAACGCAATTAAATAATAATTAGTGGCGGAGACGCGCAATCACCCGTCGTCCGCGAGTCTTGGCATCTCCCAAAAAAGCAAAAACCGGGGCTAGACTTTCGGAAGATTCTGAACCTCTTACGTGGCTGGGTTCGGCCAGCCGTACCCGAATGGGGAAAGTTATGTATCCAATAATAGTTAGTGAGCCCTGGCACGGTGGGCACCAAAGCCCGATTTTGCCGTTTTTGGGGGCGGGTTCGTCTTGGCGGGTTCGGGAAGGTCGAAGAGGGCTTGGCGGGTTCCAGTCTTCAAGATCCCGTGAACGCGTGATGTTCTTGATTCAGATTGTTGATCGGCCAATGACAGAGAGGGTAATTCAGGATATGTAATCACCACTGACTTCATTGCGCTGCAACCTTAGCGGACAATGGACAGTATATAGCAAGATAGCAAGACGACTGCCATTGACAGTCTTCGTCTGTATAAGCTATTGTTCTATTTTGTATATATGTGCAGTTCATAGTTGGGAAGTCCTATAGGACGATGTAAGGTCGACAATGATTGAGTGACGATTGACGACGTCATCACCATGCACTGCGATCTGTTGCAACACTGCAAGGGCATCAATCTTATCTGATTAGGTTATTAGATAAGATTCAATGAGATTCCGGAGTATGTCCCCATACTTATATTTTCGCTGTCAATCATCTGCTGTACTACACTGGACGTATGTACATACATCTTGGATTAATCTCGCAAGATGAAGAGCATGTTCGTGTTGGTCTGTACTACAGTAACCACAAGAGGGCCATGTCTATCTCAAGATGCATCTCAACATTTCTTTCTAGTCATGTGAAGCCTGTCTCTCAGGCTGGCCAGCCTGCCTTCTTCCCCTTGCATTTGACGCGAGGGTTAACTGCTCAACTGACACCATGCGGTAAGATTGAAGATTACGCAGCCGGAGAAAGATACCTCGACATCGACTTAGCGTAAGGGGCGACGTCAGATGTATGCACTACATCTTGCTGGAGCCGAGACTCCAAGGCTAGCGTCTGCTGCGTTCCACCTAAGTACGGAGTACCTAGCCTAAGGTAATAATACGTTTTAAGATCTGCGAACACCTCCTTCCTGCAGCTGCCTGACTTGGACGCCGCCGCTTTAACAGGGGTGAGCAGGCTGAGTCAGGTGATCAGCTCACCCAGCCATGATGACTTTAGCATTTCAAACCAGATCTGAATTCAATTTATTGATTTGGCCTCCTGTAGCGGCGTGAAGTTGAGTATGAAAAGCCTCCTCCGAGCCTTTTTTTTTTCTGCATTACAAATCCAATGAATAGCACCTTCTTATTCAGCAATAAACTCATAACAAGCCGATACGTAAAGGGCGTCTTGCGAAGACGACTTAGAATCTTTGCTCAGTTCCTCCTCCTTACTAAGGCCCTCGTCTGGACTCCCCTACCAGTTCCGGGTTCAGCACGATCGATCGATCGCCTTTGCAGCGGCAACCTCTGCCTCAGACACCTGCTGCCAAAAAGGTGAGCATGCTTGTTCCCTGTAGACACTTCAATTTCAACTTCCTGTACAGTGTGCCTGGACCTAGGTCTCATAGAGCCGGCGACAACAGTGGTGTAGTAGGTACCCTTTATCTTCCGCTAGCTCCAGGTTAGGATCAGTTTCTGTCATAGGAATCACCTTCATTATCACTATCGTCTTGATAGGTATCAAGTGCTGCAAAGAGCGTTTCTGCTGCCCCTCTCAGGACATAATCTTTATATCTAATACTGTACTGGGGAGTCCACCCCCTGTATAATCAGTGACCTGCGATGTCAGTGCATGCCTGTATATAGTTTTCCTCGCGGGGTATGCTGTCATGGAGAATCATCGTCGTCTTCTTATAGTCAGTCATTCAGTCATTCAGTGTAGGATACTTTAAGATTTTTTTTTAAAAAAAAGACTTTCTTCGTCGGATTCCCAGAATCTATACATAATTAGGAATTCCAAAGAAAAAAAATCTAAATAAATAAAGAGACTTCATACCATAGGTAGAAATTCCTAAATATAGTGACCAAGGGCAATGCTTGACATTTCTGCAAATTATGCAACTTGCTTACTTGTTGAGGATGATGTGCTTGGAACTACCAATGGTTATGACTATATTAGCATTACGACTTCTGAGCGAGGATATTAATTAATAATAGGTGCTGGAAAGAAGATTCCCCCCTCGCTACCTATTTCATCAGCTATTCTCGTTCTTATCTCGTATCCATGCGGTAGTAGTATGTATTTTGTCCAACTAGTCCAGTGTTGCAGTGCTGTAACTCCAGTAAATGCTTTGCTGTGTTATGTAGACATGTTCACTGAAGTAGTTCAAGCATTCAGGGATATATAAGCTCAAGTTTATTAATAATGTTGCTGTCTGCCCTAAGACATAAGTCTCCGCAAACTTAGAAAAACGACTATATGTACAACACAACACAATACAATACTCCTCAAGACGAATTTCACTCTGTGTGATCACATTGAGTCGTGATCCAGGAATTCTCAATTGCATGGCATAAGAAATAGTCCTTGGTTTATTTATGGTATATTAATAAGTAATAAATGCGGTGCATATGCTGGTTGTCACTTGCGATGCAATCGGCATCTATCTACATTAGATAATTTTTAACATCACGCTATCCGCCAACAATAGACAAAAGAAATTCGTTTCATGCCATCGTAAGCCATTATCATCAGGAATGACGGGGAAAGAAATACCTATGTACATGGCCTAACTGGCAAAATCAACTTCGCAGGCATGCTTGACTCCGATTCCGGCATACTGCACGCAATGGTCTAGGTTAATTAGATGAGACTGCGCGGTTGTCTTTACTCTCGTGGCGTACAGCGAGATAGTTCGGCCACAAAGGATTGTCCCCAGAAAGAACTAACAGCCCCAGTCAGCCAGAAGTCACGATTGACGGACAGAAGAAACACAAACCTGGTATACTTGGAAATGTATTTCCAGAGTTTCTGGTACTTGGCCGCCCGCTGCTCCGGATCCATGGAGACGGCCTCGAGGTACGCGTTCGCTAGGTCCTCCGTGTTCCATGGATTCACGACCAAGCTGCCGTTCAAGCTTTGCGCAGCACCGGCGAATTCTGACAGCACCAAAACACCCTGCCGCTTTTGCTGACTAGCAATGTATTCAAAGGAGACCAAGTTCATACCATCTCGAGTGGACGAGACGACGCACGCGTCGGAGACAGCATACAGAGCGAGGAGCTCATCGAAGCTGACGGACTTGTGCATGAAATGGATGGGCATATAATCCACGGTTCCTACAAGTAGCTCGTTAGCTCGATAAATTCTACGAAAGCTGTAAAGTCTTCGACATACCAAATCGCCCATTGATGCGTCCCACCAGCTCATTGACCACCGCCCGCAGGTTCTGGTATTCCTCGACATCTTGCCGGCTGGGCACTGCCACTTGGACCAGAACCACTTTGCCGACCCATTCGGGGTGGTTTGCCAAAAAGACCTCCAACGCGTGCAGTTTCTGCGGGATCCCCTTAATGTAGTCGAGACGGTCGACGCTGACCATCAACTTCATGCCCTGGAACTTGTTTTCCAGATGCGCAATGCGACTCTGAATCTTTGGGTTTTTCAAGCCCTCGATGAACTTTTCCGGATCGATCCCGATCGGAAACGCGCCCACGGCCACCGAATGGCCTTCAAACTGGACGCTACTTGGCGTCGTGACTAACCCTCTGTAAAAGCGTAGTCAGCATTCATTCCGTCACGGCGGGTTCACGTGGACAGGCTTCGTACAGGATGTGGGAGCAGCTGCTCAGGAAATGGCGGGCATAGTCGAAGGTGTGGAAACCGATCAAGTCGCAATGTAGCACACCCCGTAGAAGGTTCGCGCGGACGGGCAGAATCCGGTAGATCTCGCTGCTGGGGAAGGGCGTGTGCAGGAAGAAGCCGATGGCGATGTTCTTCTTGCCCTGGGCGCGGAGCTCGCCGCGCAGCATTTCCGGCAGGAGCATCAGGTGATAGTCATGCACCCAGACCATGTCTCCGTCCTGCACCTCCTTGGCGATCGTCTGCGCAAACAGCCAGTTGGCTTCTTTATACGAGTCCCAAGCCGATTCATCGAACACGATCTCCCCCGGGTGATAGTGGAGCAGTGGCCAGAGGATTGAATCTGGTGATTTTCAATTGCTCCGTGTCAGCGCAGGCGCTCTCTACAGGACACCAGGACCGTCTTGCGACTCACTTGAGAAGCCATTATAGTGCCGGTCGGCCAGCTTGTCGTCAATGAACACTGGGGTCGCATTGTATTCCTCCTTCAACCTGCTTTTAACTGTGCTGATCTCATCTTCAGGAACCTCCAAACCGGGCCACCCATACCATTGGAAGGTGGTTGTCTTTGCAAGCCCGCTGAGACCGGTGACAAGACCTCCCGACGACATGGAAAACTCATATTTCCCGCCTTCTGAGCGCCGGATGGTAATTGGCAGGCGGTTGGACACCAGGAGCAACCGCCCGCCGCCCGGCGATGGCTCTGTCGGCGCGGGCGACATGGCTATCAGCCGATGACGTTATGGCAACAAGGGCAAAAAAAGGGAATCGTGGATTCAATTCGTATTCTCTGCGCTGTCAAGTTCAGGCAGGGAAGTCTCCTTGCGTGCGATGTCGACGCGCTCAGGACACAGGGAGGAGGGAGGCAGAAAAAAAAACGCAGTCACATGGAGCATCCTACCTTAAGGCATCTGCTCCCCTCCGCGGGGAGAACCCACCAGAGACGACGGTTACTTCTACCTAAACGATCAACCCGCGACCTAATCGCGGCGTGGACTCCGGTCGAAGCGATTGCTTGCCCGAAGCCCGCTTTCGACGCCCTTCACTGCCCGTCGTGGCCGCCGTGCGCGAAGGCAGCGTGTGGACGGAGATCAGGCCAATCAGTCTCGCTTGGCTCCGTGGGTCGAGACCCCTCGAACCGTCGAGAAGGCCGATTAAGCAGGCGCCAGGATCGCAGCATCTCGACTGGGACCGGGCGGCTGGACCGGCGTTCCAGCCCCGCCGCGCCTCCTGACGTCGACGATCCTGCGGCGAAGCACGCATCTCGCTTTGGGCTGACAGCAGCTTGTTCCAGGCTGCCTGCATCGCGATCCTCTCCGGAATATTCGTTTCTCAGCGCCGTGATTGGTTGCCTGAGGCTCGTGGGCGAGCCAGAGCCCCCCGCTGGCTGCTCGCTGGCGTCCTGTGGGACGAAAACGCCAGAATATTCTATGTCATCATCCTACTTCGCATTCCCACATCGCGATACCACCATGCCTTATACAATCCGCGCCAGGTGCCTAACGGGCTCTGTCAGGCCCCGACTTTGTCCGGAGGGGAAGGTCGACTGCCTAAGCACATGATTGCGCCCAGAACGCCATCCCACCTTATAACCCCTCGATCGCTTCTCCGCCATTATTGCCCCCGGATCCCTTGTGCTGAGTATCAAGAAGACCTCTGCATTGTATGGCGTCGTGTCGTGTCGTGTTCCTGGAGTGAGATTGATCGATCTCGACTCTAGCGGCTCTCCCGCTCCTTTGATACCCGTATCTTATCAGGGCGCCCGCCCCATCGGATTGCAACCCCTTGAGATTAGACGTACGGCACGAAGTCATCGAATCAATGACTCTCTACGTGGTGTCCCTGTACGTGTTGCCATCCTTTCAGAGGCATTGTTGAAGTTCTGCCCGTCACTGACAAGGGATCGATCAGGTTTCTTCCCTATACCATCGATTTTGAGGCGGCAGGGGTCCGGCGTGGCCGGTATGCGCCAGATGGTATCCATGCCCCCCTTGACGATAAGATCGAGGGCCGTCTGGCCGAATTGCGTCGTCACAGACGCCCCAAGTCCCTGTCGATGACTCCTGGTGCCACCACCGATCATGAGAAGATCTTCAAGCCCTTCTATGCCTCGCAGTCCCACGCAGACGAACCTCACGTACCAGGCCCCAATGAAGTCCGTGTGGAATCCTGGGGCCTCAGTCGGAAATTTAACCAACCCAGATCCAAGGCTGTGGTACCCCCAGAGCCTTCCATCCTCAGCCGTCAGGATAAGAATGAGGCGACCAACGAGCCCATACTTCGCAACGTGGATGGGCAAGAGTCCGAATCCGACCCGGATGATGCCGGTAGCCCACGAGTTCTCCTCTCAGACGTGGACTGGGTCGTGAAAGCAGCTGAACAGGGCAACGGAGGTCTCCGAAACGCTATCAATGCCGCTGTCAAAGCAGGCATTTTGCAAGACAAGGTCTGGGTGGGTACACTCGGCATGCCAACCGATTCACTCAAGGAGCACACCCGCACCAGCATCGCAGAGCGACTGGAGGAAGAATTCGAATCGCTCACGGTCTTTGTCAGCGACAGTGAATTCGAGGGCCACTACTCTCATTTCTGTCGCACCGTTCTCTGGCCGGCTTTCCACTACCAGATGCAGGAGGAGCCGCGACACAAAGAATACGATGACCATTCGTGGAGACAGTACGTCAAGGTCAATGAAGCGTTTGCCAACACTCTGGCGCAGAGATGGAAGCCAGGGGACCGGATCTGGGTCCACGACTACCATCTTCTGCTACTGCCCACCATGCTCCGACAAAGACTCCCCGACGCGGAGATTGGCTTCTTCATGCACACAGCGTTCCCATCGTCGGAAGTCTTCCGCTGTTTGACCACCCGAGAAGCCTTGTTAGAAGGCCTTCTTGGCGCCGATCTCATCGGGTTCCAAACGGAAGAATACTGCCACCATTTTCTCCAGACCTGCAGTCGTCTCCTCCGCCTGGAGGTATCGGCGGAGGGCGTCCACCTCCCCGATCATCTTATCCCAGTCAAGCCTTTCCCCATTGGTATTGACAGCCCTTCGCTCAACGTCTTGAGGCAGTCGCCCGAGGTGAGGGAGTGGATCACGAAAATTCGCGACAGATACGCTGGGAAACATTTGATAGTGGCACGGGATCGACTAGATGTTGCGGGAGGCATCAAGCAGAAGCTCTTGGCCTACGAGACCTTCTTGCGGAGATATCCCAAATGGAGAGACTCTGTAAGTTCTCAGCGTCTTAGTACGTAAGTTGGATGCTTGCTAAACAAATTTAGGTGGTCTTGATTCAAGTAGCGTCCTCTATGTCAGAGCTGCCCGATCTCGAAGCGCAGGTTTCCAAGATCGCAATGAGAATCAACTCCGTCTATTCGACCCTGACACACCAGCCGCTGGTCCTGCTCAAGCAAGACATTTCCTTTGCACAGTTCCTCGCCCTCATGTCGGTGGCTGAGATCTTCATGGTCACCAGCTTGAGAGAAGGAATGAACCTCACGGGGCATGAATTTATCCAATGTCAAGACGGACTCGTTGGCCCGCAGAAGTATGGTTCTCTGATTCTGAGCGAATTCACCGGCAGTGCTTCCATCTTGAGTGGGCACCAGTTGCTGGTTAATCCGTGGGATTATCAGCAGTGCGCCGAAGTCATCGACCAGGCTCTCGAGCTGTCGCCAGAAGAGAAGCAGAAGAACTGGCAATTCCTCATTGACCGCATGACTCAGCACACTGCGACTTCGTGGTGCGACTCTTACTTGAAAGCCCTGTCGGACGCATACAATGCGCAAGCCTCGCAGGATCCGGCGCTGGTGTCCTCTCTTTCCATCGACTCCCTGAAAGACAAGTACGAGCGCTCCAGACGTCGTCTATTTATCTTGGAAGACCAGGGAACACTTGACTTCTATGCGTCGCCCAAGGATACGACTCCAGCGTTGGAGGAACACAAACTCGACGCTATCAGATCTCTACTGAGCGATCCAAAGAATGTGGTCTACATCACCAGCTCTAGGACGCCCAAGCAGCTCGAGCTATCAATGAAAGACGTTTCTGGCGTCGGGCTGATCGCGGAGAACGGCTGCTTCCTGCGGGAACCAGGCAAGGCCGAATGGGAAACGCTTCTGGACGAGAGCAATACCCGGGATTGGCGATGGGGGATCCGCAAGGTCATGCAATATTTCCAGGAGCGGACTGACGGTAGCCTGGTCGAAGAGCGGCGGTTCTCCCTGACGTTCTGGTACAAAGACGCCTTGGATCAGGAACTCGCCGTGCGACAAGCTTCTGATCTGGCGGACCAGATCAACGGCTCTCGCGGCACCGAGCCCATCCGCGCCGTCCTCACCGAAGGTGCGGTAACCGTGGAGCCAACGAACGTCACGAAGGCATCGACTGCCGAGGTGGCCTTCCAGAGGATGTGCAGCAGCGGCGACAACAGTAACGGCAACGGCAACAGCAACGGCAACGACATTGTCAATGGCGATAAGAACTCCCTATCACAGACGACACCAGACTTCCTCCTGGTGGCGGGCGGCTCTCGCGACGACGAGAGTCTCTTCCGCTGGGCAAACAAGCTCAGCCAAGAGGGCAAGGTGCCGAATGTCACCACTATCACGGTGGGCACTCATGCGACGGCCGCAGCGACGCTGTTGGAGAACAACACGACCGTGACCGACGTCCTGACAGTTCTCACAAACACAACACCAGCAGCAGCTAACTAGTTAGCTAGCTAGCTCATCAGAGACGAAGTGAAACTAGCATCCTGATCCTTTGATCTTTTATCTTTCCTCCAGGCATACATTTTCTTTTTCTTTCCATCATCTCTTCATTTTTCCCTTTTCTTTTTATATATTTTTTCTTATATGGCTTAGATACGGCGTATACGCGGGGTCTACATGCATGCACATACTCGAGATAACTACCTACTACCCGTTTCTTACGAGTTTTTGACGATACACGAATGACTGGCTGAGTGAACGAATTGAATGAATGAACGAACGGGACAAAAGGTTGGAGTATGCATATATGTATGTAATGTATGAACTGTACATACGTGCGTAATGAATTAATACATACGACCTGGAAGGGATGATCGAAAGAATATACGCAATCCATACACAGGCCATCCAGAATACATGACTGAATAATGATTACCCCTCAGACTCCTGAGAACAGTCAACATCCATCTCCGCGGACTACCACTTCCCGCGCCAACAAGTCCATCGAAGTAAGGGTAATGCTGACGTGTAGTCTTGACATGCTGATCACAACTTTTCGAGCCGTTATTTATATGAAAATTTTTCTATTTTCTTCTTTCCCTCAATATTCTTTTTGTTTAACATCTTATTTATTTAATCTCCGTGACAATTTCATTGATCGATCGATCTATCTATTCCCAACAACACAACCACAACCAAAGGAATAAAAAAACAAAATAGAAAGGAGGGTGGGGGAAAAAAAACATGGGAATCTTCGTCCTCGCAGAAGTCGTCTTCGACACCCTCCGTCTCTACCCCCTAGGCAAATACACACGAAGCTGGAACAAAGCCTTCACCGGAAGCGAAACAAAAACCCAGCAAAAGACATGGATCCAGCAGTACCGAACCGAAGAATCCAGCTGCGAGCATCTTCTCCAACGAGAGACCTACCTGAAAGAGGAAATCGACGCGCTGCAGAAACTTCCCGAAAAGGACCTGACGACCGACGAAGTCGCGCAGAAGCTGCGAGCCAGGGAAGATGAGCTCGCCAGGATCAAGCAGGTGTACTGGCTTCATCGCCAGAAGCTGGGCAATCTGCAGTCTGGCAAGCCCCAGGGTGGCGCCTGGATAAGGGAGTTTGATCTCCAGCAAAAACAGAGGAAGACGCGTCACTGGAAGAAGGATCGCGAGGCCTGTGAGCTCAGGGGCGGGTGCTGTGATAGGGATTGCGGATGCTGTGAGCGGGCTCGGAAGATCCTCCGTCCGGAAGGGAAGACGATGGAGAAGAAGAAGATGCATTGCAGTGTGGCGTGTGGATGCTGTGTTCGGAGTCGTGGGTTTGAGGATGTTGATCCGGAACTCAGGAAATCAGTCCAATAATTATAATATAATAATAATAATGGTCAGTTCAAAGACTGGTTGATCATCGATTGGATAGAATTCTGACCGTTAATTAAAGAACAATGATCCTGGAACAGACTTTTCTTTTTAATTAAAGAAGCCTCGAAGGAGAAAGAAAAGAGGGTTCGAACCGAATTTCAGATATTTGCCACCATTATCAGAAAGAATTATCGAATGACAGACCCAAAAAAGTAGCTCGTATAGACTATCCAAAGAATGGTACTCTGATTTGGTTTTAAACTAAGGCAAAAAAAATAAAAGAAAAGAAAAGAAAAAAGCGTTAGACGTTACTACTACTACTACAATACAATACATGTCTGTCCATCAGCCCTCGAGAACTAAACTAAGTGATCAATCAAGAGTAAAGAAAACCGACTACTACATCAACATCAACATCGACGTCACAGCTAATCATACGTAACTCGATCACAAGAACAGAATGTCAAATAAAACAAAACAGTCAACTCCCATCCAAACCATGCTGTCGTAAATCATAGAACACGAAAAAGGCCCTCTAGGACTGAGCCAATAATCAAAAATCAAAAATTCGGTTTAAAATGTCATAGTAAAGAAGGATAGGGATAAAGCAGTGTGTTGAACGTGTGAAAGAAACCCGGGGGAAAAAGATTGAGCGTATCAACGACTTAACCGCCTGTATCGTCAGTGTTGTTTTGATTGCTGTTCGCAGTGGAGGCGGAGCTGCCTCCTGAGATCAAAGTCGGTGCTATTCGCCTCTTCTTTGGTTGTTGCTGCTGCTGCTGCTGCTCCGACGGCTCTTTGCTCTGGGCTTTCGTCTCCTCCTTCTCCGACTCGCTCGCCGCGCCAATATCGCGCTTTCCGAGAACGCTGCCGCTCATCGAACTCGTGGCACTATGTGATACTCCAGACATCGGTGTCTGTGGCGTGGTAGTGAGGGGCAGGGTCTGAGGTTGAGCGGAATTGGCTGCTGTGACGAGCGGGACAGATCCCAGAGTAGGAGTTGGGTTATTAACGACTGTGTCCAATTGTGTTGCAGAGTTCGTATTATTTGACGAGGTTGAGGTCGAATGCGGCGGGCTGGCCGGACGACCTGCATTGGTTGAAGAAGGCTGAGCAGGACCTGCGCTGCTCGGTGCCGTACTCGCCTTCACTAACGAGGGAGAGGTGGTCTGGGTGGGTGTAGGCAGAGGAGTGATGCTCGCTGACGAAGCAGTCGAAGGAGCCGCATGGTGATGCGGCGTTGGCACTGGGCCAACATAAGGCTGGCCGAGTTCGCCAGGAGCAAACGACAATGTTGAGCAGAAGCCATCGGACGAGCTCATTATCAAAGTCAAACCATCGTTCGACCTGTTTCGTTAGTTTTACGGAATTGCAAACACGTGTCACAGCTGCTTACCAGGTCAAGTCCGTGAAGGTAGCGAAATGCAGATTGCTCACGACACACAGCGGTGTTTGCTGCTGCGTGTCATAAACCAGGACCGCATCCTGCGTAGCAACTGCATACACAATCCGATACGGCAAAGCGAAAGCCGGGCTAGAATTCGCTTCGCTGTCTGCAGTCTTGGGAGGTTTTGATGGATCACTTGTGGCAGAAACGGGTGGTGGTTCCATTGATGGGTGGCTGGTCACGTTTGACGCAACCACTGGATCCGGAAGCGAAGGGAAAGCATCTTCTCCAGAAGACGTATCCAGAGTGATGTGGCTGGTAGGCCGTGGCGCTTGTCGGAGGGTGTAATACACTGGAGAGCATCTGACAGCGACTGACGGCTTCTTGTGGCCAGGCAGGTGAGCAATCGGCGGCTTGTTGAAGCCGGCACGTGTGTAGATATAAACCGTATTTATCACTTCGTCTACGGTCTTCGACGGATCGCTGGGAGAAACATGAGAGGTCTTATACTGACCCGCGGGTGTGAAAAGCAAACTGCCATCAGGAGCAAAAGTCAATCGGCGGAAAAAAGACGTGAAAGTCTCGTTGGCGTAGAGATTGGCGTTTTTGACTCCAAGGCCACCGAGCAGACCCGGCGATGATACTTCCATAGGTTTCACAGCGGGCAATGGCAATGAAGGAGCAGGTGACGCTGAACGGCGGATGGAGGGAGATGATCCAAACGATGAACGTCGACTGTGAGACACAGGAGGAGGATCCATGGGCAAGGCCGTCGCTTTTGGCGTGCCGGGAGCAGAGGGAGCCGGAGAGGCAATGGGATGCGGGTTGCTGGTGGTCGACTGAGTCTTATTTCCAACATCAGACGGGGCCGGACTGCTCGAGGGCACTCGTCGAGCAGGCAGATCCATCTTCAGGAATTTGCCATGAGTGGTCAACGAGAATTGACCATCCTTTGTCTTCAGACTGTATATATGGACCGATCGGTCGGACGACTGGGTCGCGACGAATTCATTCAGCGGGTCCCAGGCGACGCCTTGAACGTAGTGAGAGTGCTCTGCGATCTGCCGAACCATTTGGCCTAAGAGCTTGCAGTCAGCAAAACCTCGCCTGCAGGACTAAAAGAAGGAATTGGCTGTCCAACCCGTCTGAGCATTGTAGATGCGAGCAATATTGTCCATGCTTCCCGTGATGATGAACACGCCATCGGGAGACCACGCCAGGTCATAGATCTCCGCTCCAGACGACCTACACATGTGCTTCACCCGCCAAGTTTCCTTGTCATCCGATCGATCCTCCCCGAAGGTGGATGTTGTCTGGAGTTCCGAGGGCACCCAAAGCAGCACGTTGCCATCATCACCAGCAGAAGCCAGCATCTCACCTATTTCCGTCAGCAGGACGCTCCAGAAGAGTGACTCGAGAGGTGCAGGGCATACCTTTCGGAGAGAAGCGGACCACGTTCACTGCCTGTGTGTGCTTGACCAGGGTGCTCAGATAGGTTATTTTTCGTTCCTCCCCGGTACCCTCGACTTTCCAAAGCTATGACAGAATCAGAACAAGGGAACGGCGAACACTGGGAGGGGAATGCATACGCGGACATTGTTATCACTGCATGGGGAGAATCAAGGTTAGCGTCAGCGTTGACATCTCACGGGCAGTGGAAACGTACTTTCCAGCAGTGGCCAGTCGACCATTGCCATGAGGATCGAAGTGCACCGAGTATATTGGGGCATTGTCATTGTGCCAGGCGATCAGCAATGGGGTGGCTTTCATGGTGGCAGTTCAGTGCCCCGGAGAGCACTGTCCAAGCCCGGCAGCGCAAATGAGCAGCTGTATGGAAACTGGTTTGGTCGAAACCCGGGCCCAATTCTGATGAATTGAGGTCAATGAAGAAAATCCAAGATGGCTGGGCAGGACATGCAAGGCGGAGGGCTGCGAGGCGGAGAGGAGTTGGCCGGAGCGGTGATGCTGGACGTTCCTTGGTAGTCGACCAGGGGAGCAGCGACACGGCCGGAAACGCGGGACAGAATCTATACAAGAGTCCGGCAGGTGGTCACGACACGAGCACAGGCAAACCGTATACAAAAATGCCTCGAGGGAAACACAACAAAAGAAGGCAATTAGTTAATTAATTTAGGTCGTTACAGCACAATCCAGAGCCGTGAAGACGTTGGCTGCCTCGTCGCCCAGTCACGACGGTTGGCGGATGCGTTCGCGTTCCGCGCCAGGCGAATCAAAGGCGCGTTGCTGGCCTGGCCAGCCCTACTGCCCCAATCGCACCGGCATCCGCGCCGTCGTCTGGCAGTGGAGAAATTGATGCTCAAGTGAGCATTTCGGCGCTCGTCGACTGGTCGTGTCTGTCAGTCTTGGCCTGTTACGAGCCAGTGGAGGGCGACGGAGGCATGGGGTGGATGACACGCGCCCAAGCGTGCACACTACAGATTAGATCACTCAATATCTAGTTACATCTACGGCGTTGGCACCGACGTGATATGAGGCACTTTGCAGATGAGCGACTCTCCTGACACATGAAACGAAGCGGCAAAGAGCCATCTTCCCCAATCCGCTCTATTCCGTGCGTCAACGGTCCTGCTAGGTTACATGGGAAACCTTCTATTTCAGAAGCCCATCCGCTAGGTCGTTTTATCTCTATCGGATCAACTGAATAAAAGAGCAGAGAGCCGTAGACTCGTTGAACTATGTATACAATAAAAGATTCCCTTTCCTAAAACCCATCCGAACGCCCGTTCTCGTTATAGAGGTATAGGCAGCATGCCGCATGAATGATTAGATAAAATAAAATGTACATCGAACGAAAATCCCCTCCAGCCAGCTGTTCTAGGTGATCCATTTTCCGATAGTCTCTCCAAACCACTTGATCGCTTTTTCTTGCCTCTTCAATCGTGCTTCCTCCTGCTTCTTCAGATACGGTGAAGCCTCTTCCGCATACCTCTTCTGCTGCTCCATCTCGGCCTTGATGGACCGGATCTCCAGCTCGCGCTCGTGTGGCGTGAGCTCTTCCAACGGTTTGGAGGGTTTGGAGCCAGGGGGGAGCTGCTCGCCTCCTGGTATCACAAGTTCTCCTGGTCGAGTGTTGGAGTCATTCTGCGGAATGGGTTTAGCATCCGGGTTGAAGAGAGAAGTGATCGGTGGTGGCTCGACTCCGGCCGCACGCGCCTCCTCAACTCGTCGCTCGAAATCCAGCATCTGATGGTACAATTTGTCGGCGTGCATCTGGATCCGTTCCTCCCTCTCTTCATCCCAGTCGAACGAGGCGGCGTACCCGAGTGCCTGAAGGAATTTCTGTCGCTTGTCAGCATCTTCAGCATTGAGTACGTAAAAAGGGAAAACGCACAGCTTGAGTTGTATAGCACCGAGAGAACTTTCTGTTCTCCTCAGCACACATCGTCGCGCGCGCCCGCACCATGCTCCACCAGTCGCTTTTTTGAAAGCACAAGCTCAAGGCCTCATGTTCGAGGGCGCAGTTCTCCATCGCTGCATGGTGCACCGCATCCTTGCGCTGCTTAAACTTCTCGACCACTCTCTCCGCTGACCGGACTTCCGTACCCTCGATCTCTTCTAAAGGCTTATAGGTTTTCCAGAGGTGAGCGTACCGACCGTCCGGAAAGAGCGATGCGGATGGAACGGTCGGTTTGGAGGAGTCAGCGGCATCCGAAGCAGGGGCTGACTGGGAGGACTTTTGCGATTCAGCTGGTGGTGGAGTCTCTTTTGACGGTCGGACTGTATTCGTAGGAGAATATTTGGTCGTCTCTTGCTCTAGGAATTGCCGCAGCTCTGGATCGAGCTTCTTCGTCGGATCATTCTGACTGGAGTTTCCCCAAAACCAACTCATTGGGGATGCAGAACCGCTAAAGAAGACGGTGCAATAGTCCAAACAAGGTATACGAAAAAAAAAAGCAATAGAGTAAAGAGCTATAAGCGTCAATCGGTGGTCAGGATCACCACGATCAAAGCGATGCGGAGAGGCAGAGCCGCCGATTTTCCAGCGGCGCCAGACCGCTTCGGGCCTCCATGCGCGACCTTAGGTGGCCGCTCTCCGCCCAGTGTTCCCGCCCGCGTAAGCTAAACTGTACTTGTATAAACCCAAGCCGCAACACATCGCGTCTGTCTCGCGCGTCGAGCTCCTGGTGGGAGCTGCACCGCTTATCATGGCTTCCAGTACGGTGTTCCGAAGCGATTGCTTCTATTTCTACTGCTGACCATGGTGTTTGCAGGTCGAGAGGAGCGCTTGCAGATGCGCCAGCGCGGTGCAGGGTATGCTGATTCCCCCGCGGCGGCGTGAATAACAGCTGACAGCCAGCCTGCTACAGCACGCGCAAAATCAAGGATGTCGATTTCGGATTCTCCTTCGGCTCACCAGTGGCCGCCGCTCCACAGCAGCCATCGCGTCAAAGCCCTCAGCCTGCTCCAGCTCCTCCCGCTGGCCTGGGGCCTGCCGAGCAACCTCAAACCCCAGAAAGACAAAAGCCTGCTCCCCAGCTGTCACCAAACAAGGCGCCGGAAGGATCGCAAGGTCATGCGGAACCTATCCGGACTCCTGGGAGCTCGCGGAATAGGCTTCCTGAGAGACCTTCGACCTTCGACATTCCGCTAGACGAGGAGCAGTTTAGGAGCAACAAGAGAAGGAGAATTGGTGAGTGTTCCATTCAATTTTTTCTTTGTTTCCTTGCACTGATTAATCTACCTAGGTACAGCAAGTACAGTTCTCGAGGATGCACCCGCTCCTCTGTTGGAGAATGCGCAGGCCGAGCATTCAGCCCCTCCGACTCAAGATGCGACTACAAACGATAACAGCGTCCAGCCTGACGGTGAAACAGCCTCGATCCCTGCGGCGACTCCTCATATCAACGGAAGCCAGTCTCAAGATGCCTCTGATCAGATACCTGCTCCTGAGCAGCAGGACACAGGTGCCTTCGATCAGACTACAATACCGGACACAGAGGCAAAAGCTACGACAGAAAATGACAAACAGAACCTGTTGGAGAACGGAGAATCTGTACGGGATGAGCGTCAAAAGAACAAACGAGCAATACGAAAACCGATCCCCCAACAACCTCCAGACCGTGAGCAGTCGGTTGAGAAGGTTCACGATCAGGAGAATTGGAAAGTGGTGACCGAACAGACAACAGAGGTGCCTAGCCCAGAAATTCCTGCTGATGCACCTGCGGAAGAGGCAAAGGAGAATGGAGATTCTCCGCAGAGCCGAGGGACACGGAGGAGAAGAGCGGGAGATGACACTGCAGAAGAAACTGGCCAAGAAAATGGTGAAATTGAAGACCAGGCAACGAGGAGAAAACCTAGTCGGAGGAAAGCGCGTCAAGAACAGATTAGTCAAGAGGACAAAAATGATGCACCACCTGAGCCCCCTGTAGTGCAGAAAGAAACTAGTCAAGAGAGCGAGGAAATTGAAGACAATACAGCGAGGCGAAGACGCGGTCGGAGAAAAGCGCATCAAGAAGAGATCAGTCAAGGGAAAGACGAAAATGACGCTCCCCCTGAGCCTCCTGTTGTGCAGAAAGAACCCGCAGCTCCAGCATCAGCTGAGGTCCCCGAAGCAGAGCCTGACCGGCAGGAAGCTGACCAAGAAGAGCGTGGATCAGCTGAGCGACCTCCGAAGAGACGCAAGCAAAGACAAAAGCAGGCGCAAAATGCAGACGACCGTGTCACAACTAGAGCTCGTCGTTCAGTGGAGAACGTCCCAGAGAAGCCGGAGCCGGAGCCGGAGCCGGAGCCAGAACAAGAACCAGCTTCTACAGAACAACAAACACAAGTGGACCAGCCTCAAGCCGAAGCCCGTGAACCGGAACTGTCGCAGAAGCGTCGCGGCAGGCCATCAGGATCGAAGACCGGAGCTGGAAAGTCAAAACAGCGCAACAGACAGTCATCCGCGCAAGGAGAAGAAGCTGAAGCGGATGGTGAGAGTAAACGCCGTGGAGAAACGGTTCCAGTTACAGTCCACCGTCTCGCTAATGTCACAGCACTGGATTCGCTTGCTGATGACTCTGCGAACTCCTCCTCCGACGAAGAATCCGCTGATGAATTGTCCACGCGGAAGAAATTCCCCAATCGCGGGGGCGTCAACCCCGCCGATGTACTCAGCCAGATCTGTCGCGAGACGCTGGAGAAGACGCTGACCACGCTGAAGAACGGGATCGCGAATGAGTCGAATCCGGCTCGACGGTCGGAATGGACCCGCAAGCGGAAGGCCGTCGAAGCGTATGGCGCCGAGCTCGAAGGACGACTCTTTGAGCTGAGCGAGATGCTCGACAGCAACTTTGTGTTGAGCGTGCAGCTCAAGAAGGCGAAGAGGGAGATGGCGGACTTGCGGAACCGACTTCTCCAGGTCCGGCAACAGAGGCAGGAAATTGCGTTGCGGATGGACGAGGTGCGAAGAAAACATAATGAAGAGGAAAGCGAGAAGATGGTATGCCTCCCTATAACGACCCTTAACATCGTGTTACGTATATCAACTAATGTCTTTGTTAGTCCCGCAACACGATCAACAACTCTCTCCACAACCTCGAGCTTGCCCTCGACCGCAACAAAGTCCGCAACGTCGATGAGACAAGCGAGGCCGGCGAAGATTCATCATCCCGCTCTGCCTCCAGTATAGCTGGTCTGGAGTTCTTACTCCGCACCGTCGCGGACAACGTCAGCTCCATCGCTCCGGGGGCTCAGGGCGGACTGCTGAATCAAGTCAAGGCCTTCAACGCGCAGTTGGAGATGGCGCTCAAAAGACTGGAAAATAAATAGCTAACTAGCTATTCCAGCGCTGTCCGCTGACCTGTCCTTTTTTTTTTTCTTAATTCCTCGATCTTCCGACATTACACTTCTCTATACCACAGTTCAGTATTCACTCTCTCCTCACAGGTTGAGGATGAGGATCGTTGTCGTCTCTGTTATTTATTGGCTTGGCTCGAGTTGGATTTGGGTACGGAGTACGGAGTGGGATGGATTGCTATGTAGCTCTGTATATTCTACGTTCTGTCTATAGTGGCATATGGTCATAAACCCTGGAAATAGAATCGATCGGCGTCAGTTTTTTTTTTTTTGTGAGTGCTTATGTATGTATTTGCTTTTTCACGTAGTCTATACAAGGACTTTCTATTGTGTATTTATTGTGCTGATAGTCCTGGTATGACAACTCCATCAATACAACAACCCAACCAGCTCTCCCTGGCTCATCATTCATTGCAGCGATGCCTTGGTTTTAAAATACTCCGTAAAAAATACTCCGTAAAAAAAGAGGGGAAAAAAAGAAAGAGGAAAGACATTTAGAATTAAAAGCCTTAACAGCAACTCGAATGAGTTCCTGGTCTAGGTAAATGTTAAGGATACAAGGGAGGACGCTTAAAATACTCCGTATTACGAACAGTGGTGATGGCACAGAGATTTCCACCACCAGGGAATTCAACTCTTGATGAACATCAAAGATTACTCTGGATTAGTTTTAGGTTCCTTTTTTTTTAAGGTGCGAAAAAAAGAAAAAAATGATTAAGAGATCCAAAATATATCCACTTTTGGAGTGGTGGAGAAAAAGAAAACTGACAAGAGTGGGATTCGAACCCACGCCCCCTTTCGAAGACCAGGAACTCGGAATGAGTTGCTGTTAAGGCTGTTGGGAGGCCTTAACCTGGCGCCTTGGACCGCTCGGCCATCTTGCCTGTTTGTTGAAATGTGGCGGCCCTTTCTGGTTTACCATCCAAAAACACTCTACCTGAAGTCAGTAACTCAGTTCTCCCTCCACGCTGGCGCGTATAGTAGGTAGCCTTGCCTTGTGGGAAAACCCCTAGACTCTGGTGTAGTTAAGAGCCTGAAGTAGAACCCCTGTGAAAAAAGTGCTCCAAATTATTTACGATTAAAAAGAAAAGTACGCTAATCATGCGGCCATGTTATCTTACGATCGGGTAGCTAAGATGTGCATTGTAGCCAGCAGCGGATAAAAATATATAAATATTCCACACACTGCAACAGATACGTAAACGTCACGAGTTGTCAACATTTCCAGACTACTTTTCTTTTCTCACTATAACCAAACAAATAAATCAACCAGGGGCAAACAAACATGTTATTTCCACTTTCTGAAAAAACGCACATTGAAGGCAGATTTCTTGTTTACAGTATGTTTCAGCGGCTCGCTGCCGCACCCACTATTAGAGCACAAGGTAGGCCCGAAACTGATCCACAAAAGACAGAAGAACCGAAGAACATAGACCCAATTCCCCAAGACAACAAACCAATTTTTTTTCCACCTTTCTCTCCCTTTTATCTTCATCTCTACCTGGGGAGGGGTGAGAACTCACACGACACCTGCAGTCCTGGCCCAGACTGCAAACCCAACCTCATCGACTGCTCCAGACTCACCCGGACTTTTCCCGCCAAGTTAAAATATGGGACCTGCTCAGCTCCTGTGTATTTGCCAATGAGAATCTGCCTGCCAAGATTCAATGTGGGTTTTTGATTTGATGCTCCAGAAATTCGATACCTTATCGCATGGCCAATGGTGGCTTGCTTGCAAGAACCCCAGATTTGGGGCTCATGCCCTCATCCAGGCTTACTCCGTATGAGCTTAATCCGTCATTGACCAATAGAAAACTAGCTTGTCAAGAATTCAATACGGGACCTCATCTGCTGCTGTGCAATAAGATGCCAGCTGCCGAGATTCAATGTGGACTGGATGCTCCAGTAGCACGGTAAGCTCTCTGCGAACCCACTTGATCACTGTCGCATATTGACGCTGCCAATCAAACGATAACTGAAACAAGATGGCAAATAAAAAAAATTTATTGTGTGAAATGTCTTGGCTGTATAGGTCACGAGATATCCTCTTGATTTGGTTGCTTGTAAACGGCGTACTTGAACTCAACCAGAATGAAGCAAGACGGAGCGTGTCTCTATTGGACATGTATATTTCTTGAATACCTTTTCTCTCTTTCTTTCCCATTTTGTAACTTTAAATGGGACAAGCGAATTTTTGGCCTATTGGGATAGACTCAATTGAATTTTGATGTTGATTTATTGTTCTGTGACATGCGGGTATGCAACAATCCCTCCTCCCAAAAGGGTTTAGCATATCTGCTTTTGGAAGGCGGTAAGACAATCCATACATGCGCGATATTAATCCATCTCGTTATCTGTCTCTAGTCCCAAAAATATGGCCTCTCAGAGTTTTAATACTCCTTCCTGCAATCGGACTCTAAACTCAATGTCTCGATTGGCAAGGCTAGCCCGTTCCAGGCTAAACTTCCACGCCAGCGCCGAATTCCATACCCCCGTCTATCGCTTCAACGCCTTTACCAGCGCCAGCGAGCTCTCCTCCAAATCCGCCATCCTAATGCGAAGAAAAAGGGAAGAGGGAGAAGACTCAAAGAGGCAGAGAAATTGGCGATGTTATTATCTCTCCGCGTCTCCCGGATAAGATAACGCCGCCTCTTTCGATTAGCAGATAATATTAAACTGCATGCCTAGGAGATGCCCCTTGTCCCTCCTGCCCCTCGATATGTCGCGGATGACGTCGATCGCTCCACCTGCAAAGTGGCGGGGGGGCAATTTGTCAGCCAAATGCCGAGTGCAACAGAAGGAGCTCGGGGATTCCCCCTTTCGGAGACTTTTGGCCTCGTCGGGGAAGCCGGAAGATTCTCGGAACTTCGCACGAGACCAATTGGCGAATGAGATGCGCGGGATAGGCATACGCATGCAAAAATGGAACAATCGCTGCCCGGTCGAGGACTGCAGGATTTTAGGCCTCGTCGCATCGACACGGGGGCTCAGGTCTTGTTCTTGTCTTCTGAATCTCAATTCTTCAAATTCTTCTTCCTCCTTAGGTCCTCACACTGTCAGTGTTTTTATTCCGCACCGCATCGCATTGCATAGATACCACCACAGCGACTCTGCCTTTTTGACCCCGCATCAGTTCGTTTGCCATAATTGCACCCAAAATGACGAAGCTCTTTAGCCCGATCAAGGTCGGCCGCGTCGAGCTGCCGCAGCGCATTGCCATGGCTCCCATGACGCGCTTCCGGGCTGACGACCAGCACGTCCCTCTGCCCTACGTGAAGGACTACTACGCCCAGCGAACGGCGGTTCCTGGCTCGTTCGCCATCACCGAAGCCACCTTCATCTCTGCCAAAGCCGGCGGTTACAAGAACATCCCCGGCATCTACACCAAGGAACAGATTGCTGCCTGGAAGCAGGTCACCGATGCCGTCCACGCCCAGAAATCCTACATCTACCTGCAGCTGTGGGCGCTGGGCCGCGCCGCCAGCCCGGACGTCATCAAGGAAGAGGGCTACGATTTCGTGTCCAGCAGCGCCACGCCCATGAGCGCCGACGCGCCGACGCCTCGTGAGCTGACCGAGGCTGAGATCCAGTCCTTTATCGCCGACTACGCCCAGGCGGCTAAGAACGCTATCGAGGCTGGCTTCGACGGTGTCGAGATCCACGCTGCCAACGGCTACCTCATCGACCAGTTCACCCAGGACACTTGCAACAAGCGGACGGACGCCTGGGGCGGCAGCATCGAGAAGCGCGCCCGCTTCGCCCTCGAAGTCACCAAGGCGGTTGTCGACGCCGTGGGTGCGGACCGGACGGGTATTCGACTGAGCCCGTGGAGCACCTTCCAGGGCATGCGCATGGCCGATCCCGTCCCGCAGTTCACCTACCTGACCGAGAAGCTCAAGGAGTTCAAGCTGGCTTACTTGCATGTCGTCGAGTCGCGCATCGCCGGTAACACCGACGTAGAAAGCTCCGACACGCTGGACTTTGTGCTCCAGGCCTGGAACAACACGTCGCCAGTGCTTATTGCGGGTGGATACAAGGCCGAGTCGGCCAAGGAGGCCGTCGACTCCCGGTACAAGGATTACGACGTGGTCATTGCCTTTGGCCGGCCGTACATCTCCAACCCGGATCTGCCATTCCGGGTGAAGGAGGGCATCGACTTCGCTCCGTACGTCAGGGACCTTTTCTACGTGCCAAAGGAGCCCAAGGGATACATCGACTACCCGTTCAGCGACAAATTCACTCAGATCAAGGCTCGCGCATGAATCAATCTCCAGAAAGACCATATATACTACAGACTTGTCGACCTTTCTGGCATGACTGGCTGTTGATGAATTCAGCATGATATGATTCGTTGAATAGAGAAGATACCTTCCATGCATGGCATAGACGCAGCTATTGTGGATAGTACATAGTTAATCCAAAGACTGCACTGTATATAGAATTATCGTACATGACCAAAAATAATTTTTCTTTATTTAGGGCCTTGTCCAGTTGCAGACATTGTAGGTGAATTACAGCAAGACACACCACATCACGTTAGAAACTAACTCAACTCTAGCCTACAGCTAGCAAATCCCTCAAGGCGACTGACTGACTGCCTGCGTCGTGGTGCATTGCATGAGCCAGTTGTCATGATGATTACTAATACGGCATACAACTCGGGGAGTTAGCGATCGGGTAAAAGGCCTTTTTCCCCGACAAGATTGCTTCTATATCTGGGTCCAGACCCACCTAGGTGGGTGATTCCATCAGCGTACCTACAAGTTACCTACCTCAAAGTTGATATCATTAGAGGGTTCAGAATCGTCTGATAAGCTAGAAGAAATCAAGATTCCCTACTCCGTAGACTGGGAAAGTTTCTCGAGTTGGACCTAGTAGTTAATTGCTGTGGGGTTCTGCGTGTACAGTACATGACTTGCAAACATCAAATGAATCATATAGTTTTTTTTCTTACCCATCATTATCGTTAGTGTTTTATCTGGAACTTCTGCATCGCTCCATCTACTTTGAAAATGTGTTTCTTGTGCATTACCAGAAAGAATTCTGCTTGTTGTCTACACGACTGCAACTTTCTGTTTGCTGTGGAGCTGCCAAAAGCGGTAACCGAGAGACTAGGTGGTATTAGCTTCATGCCATGCTCACGCTACTCTGCCCACGCGACGAGGCCTTGCAACTACTATGATTATTTCTACAGTTCTTGAATCTTCTTGTTCGTATATTCGTTGAGAATGCGATGTGGATTTTGGCCCAGTTTCTGACTCGTGAATTCGGGACGGCTGCGGGGTAACACAGATTTATCGCCTGGTTTCTTATCGAGACCAAGCCAATCTTCAGAGACGAGATGGTTCGATCTCGGCAAACCGCAAGGCGTAGCAGCAGATGGGTCTGGCCTCAGCACAGTTTTGTCGACCATGCGGGCAAGCAGGCGACCTTTTGTCGCTGGGCAGACGAAGACACCAGCCTTCCTAAAGAAATAACAACCTCGAGACCTTGCTTTTCCATTCAGGTCTACAGTACCCTACCGCTGACGGTGACCTCACGAAATTACTCGACTACATCTCACGTGGCTTTAACTCGGAGCCCTTCCCCTGTTTCGAAATCTACGCTGAGCAACCTGATGTCTTTGCCTGTGTGGAGCATCAGAGACGAGAGATTGGAAAAGCTTTGAGGCAAACGAGGATGGCTGAATCGGGTTCACAGTCTTTGCCCCTGATTCCTAAAGTTGCCACGGACAGGTTTGACCGTCGCCGGCGAGGCTTTCTTATCGTGATCACCTCAGATAGCTATCGTAGCGGGGCCGCGCCGCCTCGCCATATAGAGTCAACAGGTCCTCTCTGGGTCATTTTTGACAGAAAATTTCCTCACAAGACTTGCATGGATACGACGACCCGGCTGGAGAGCGATCCCCGTGAGGCCCAGGCCATAGGCATGGCCATTGAAGAAATAGAAGTCTTACCTGAGAAGACGGAGATACTAGTGAAGCGGATTCAGGGCACGTACGATATGCGAAGCGATCTGTGGCTGATGTATCAAAGAAGTTTCCAAGAGGATGAAAGCCCGGACTATGGATTAGACGAGGACGAAGATCAGCCTACAGATCAGATAGAAGAAATGGGAGACGGACCAGCAGAAGATACCTTGAATCATCAAGCTCAAGCATTGTCATTATCGACGGATTTTAAGGTCACCACTGGACCGGGAAATGCGATAACAGTCACTTCTTCTTCTTCTTCTTCTAACACGATGACATCCGATCCGACCTCCGTTACGTCGTCTACGCGCCGTTCTTGCATTATTGTCCTGGAGGAGGAAACCATACCCTTGAGATCACCGCGAGGGCATTTACTTCAGCGATAGTTTCGCATCTTCCCCCAGGCAAAACGGTCCATTTCGAATTCCACAAGCCGCCAGCTACGTCTTTCGCCTCGATCATATCCTTCCATCGAGATCTCCTCCGTGCACGACCGGAAATGTCAGTGGGTGCGCTGCGTAACATCCCACCACCACCACCACCACGACGACCACGACAACAACAACAACAACAACCAGACGGTGCTGCTGCGACCGCCCTTTCCCGTATCTGTCCTCACACTCGGAGTGAGCGTCAACCGCTCGAGCTATTATTATTGTACAGTACATACATAGAGCCATATAAAGTCTTTGCCGTGGTGCTTGACAAGCCGGATTTCATCAACCAAGCCGGTGTCTTGTTCGTCATGGCCGACGGCGGCAGATGTAAGCAGCATCCGGGGGACATTCACGAGTCTTGCGGCGGACCGAATTCTGACTATTACAAGACCCAAGTCTGGCGCAGTGCGGGGATGGCGGAGGCTGCGAGGAGATTGGGCATGGTTGTGTTTGACGAGATGGAGAAGTAGTCATCTATATCTACATGAAGGAGAAGAATTGACTGTTTTCATGGAGTTTATATACAGCAACGGCATTGCATGACCATCTTTCTGCTTCATGAGCATTGGGCGAGTTTTTTTGCCCCTGGCATCTTCCGCTCTGTATATATACCTCTACAAGGGAGAAAGCGACCTGCAAGAAAACTTCTTTAATCTTGTTTATCCAGCAAGTAGAAAGAAATCTCAGCAGCGGGCAACTACAAAGGGAAGATCGTGGTTGTGTCTACATGATGGTCAGCTCCCAGGCGTTAGTGGCATCTCGTTTGCTTGCTTTCTTGTTCCTAGTGAATTCTAGAAAGAATTCATCTGACATTAATGAAGGTGAAACTGGGCTCTATAAAAAGACAATGAAATTACTCTAAAAAGTCTATAGAAAAGCCCTTACAAAGCACCTCACTAAGAGGGAGTAAGCAAGGTGCTGTGTATGTGACAGCTCTTCTATTAGTGGGTTTGCACAGGTTATGTATAGATACCTAGGTAAAAGCCCTCACATTAAACCACCTAATTGCTGCTCTCAGACGGTTAATGGGTCCGATGACCCAGTACACATATTTGCTAGATAGGTATTAATGTCAGATTTGAGAGTCTAGGTACGACGGGAGGTACAGAGTACACCCAGGTAGGATATACAATGAATTTAAAATCGACCAGAGATTTAAAGGATCTACTTTTCAAAACACACACACACATTATTATCTTAACTATGTACCCTAGGTACCATCAATGGATAAATAATAGGCAAGTACATATGCTAAAAAGAAGGGGCGTCTTCTACTTTGTAGATGTCACGGAATGTTATGTTTGTGCAGTCCTTTATTTGTAGCTAGGCATTTTTCGCCCCTGCTTGTCTATGAAACAAACTCCTTGTGATCAATATTATAGACCGGGTGTTTCTCTGTCTTGCTTGTCTGACATACTGAAAGGGATACTGTTGTTTCTTCACCTTTCATACTGTGCTGGTCTTAGGCACATGTACTGTAGATAAATTATACTCCATAGTGGCTGATCAGCATTGGCATACTGTCCAAATCTGCTAACTGTGGAAATCATTTTTTGTTCCACAAAGCAAATCACTCTAGGAGGAAAAAAATTTTTTTACTTATAAAAATGAAGAAAAACAAAAAACAGAACGACACCAACAGGATTTGAACCTGTGCGGCCGAAGCCAAGTGCTTTCTAAACACTCCCCTTAACCACTCGGGCATAGTGTCGAAACCTGTCACCCATATCAATCATTTTCGTTCTACAAAACAAATCTCTGTATGGATTGAGTCTTTGGGACAAAACAAAAAGGTAGCAAAACCTCCACTGATTAATATTCATCAGAACTTAGACACTGACTTTCTCTCGCTTAGGAAACCCAGTAGATTTCTATAAAGGACTGCGCTTCGTGGCTACCAATTTTCTCTAACACCGTTTCTGACTGATTTGGCTCAAGTCAGCAGGAGTGAGGGAGATATACAACTAGAAAAAAAAAAAAAAAGAAAATAAAAGAAAACTTCTGAACAGAGCCTCGCTTTCTTGCAGAGCCTGCCTGGGACATGAACTCATATGCTAAAACTGCTACCCTGCGAGGAATGAGAAAATCAGTTCTCAGTGCATTGCCGATCTGAATTCATTTAGTATGATATAAAATAAAATAAAATAAAATAAAATAAAATAAAATAAAATAAAATAAAATAAAATAAAATAAAATAAAATAAAATAAAATAAAATAAAATAAAATAAAATAAAATAAAATAAAATAAAATAAAATAAAATAAAATAAAATAAAATAAAATAAAATAAAATAAAATAAAATAAAATAAAATAAAATAAAATAAAATAAAATAAAATTCCTTGGATGATTCTTTGGTGCAATAACTAATTAAATAGGATAAAGGAAAACATTTCATCCTCTATTTTTTTCTTTCTTGCTTTTCTTTCTTTCTTTCTTTTTTTTCCCCGTAACTAGGACCTTCTATGTACTGTACAGTATCTTCGAAGAAAAAAAAAGAAGAAGCGGATTTGTATGCTCTGTGTAGCGAGTCTAGCGACTTAATGGCATCTGCATTCGCTATGAGTGATACTTGATGAAGGTCAAGGGAAGGACCTTCCTCCATCTACATATGATACAGGTGATGGACTATCCATACACGTGATCTCTCATGGAGAGTCCATGGGATCTACAAAAGGGATGTCCATATGCCCCGACCCCCGGAGATGCGGAGTCGTACCATGACACTGTATCTCTACTATATAAAGACCGGATTCTTTCAAATCTATCTGTCGACGATATTAAAAATTTTTTTGTTAGAAATGACCCATAACTCCTACATATACGAGAACAAGAACAAAAAAAAGGGAAAAAGATGACAGTCATTATGGAAGATATCAAGGAAAAGGAAAATAGGAGCTGATCACAACAAATACGTAAGCCTGAAGAACCTAGCCAAAGAGATGTGGGACCAATGATGCGATGCAATTTTTCATCCATCGACTTTAATGTCATCTCGGATGGGCGTTTTTGATTGAATTGCTTTGCTTCACATATGTCGTGTGACGACACGACAAAACCCATCGTCGGACCGTATGGACAGGGCATACTCGGACCAACATGACTATAAAGATGGTCCATTGGTGTATGATGATCACGTGTATGGATCGTCCATATATGTACATGTACATATGCATTCTGGAGCACCCTCGAATCCTCGATTGTAGCTCTTGTCAAGTATCTTCCCTACAGAATGAATACGGCATTTCCTCGCTACAACATATGGAAAGGCAAGAGACTCTTGGGCAAGGAAGTGCTGACAAAATCTATCTCTGTCTATCTCGCATTCCTTTTCTGATCTCGGATTCCTTTTCTTCTCATCGGATATCTAGACGATATGTACTCCGTATATATGTACGGATTTCGTTTGAGCTGTGGTGAGACGGGTCAAGCTCGGGCAAGTAGTACGGACTAACGGAATAGATAAATAGTTACATACCAGGTACATGTAGCTTTTTAAAAGGAAATAATTAATAATCTGTTTGAATTCTGATTCATTATTTATTCCCTTTGATCACCTATTTCATCCCTCTGAGCGAGTATACTTATGCCCATTATTATTCCCCAAGAATTAGTAGTAGTATGAGTACCTAGGTATATCTATTCTTCGAAGACAGAACCAGACAGAACGAGAACCCATATAACAAAACCAAAAAGAGTAATACTACATAGCCCAATGGATAAGCAGCTAGAGGAGCAATAGTACTACTCGTCCCGGTAAAAGATCGACCTCGTGATCTGCACGACGGGGATTTCTCGGGTACTGTATGTACGGTACTGTAAGGCCGTGACGTAAGTAAGCAACTACCAACTTAACACTTAATTGACAATATTTTATTTTATTTTTCATACAGCGTGCTGCCATTGCGTCTGTTTAATTCTATACTTACTTACTTACATGCTTAATGCTTCATGGATAATGGCGAGTATCTCACGAATTTAGAGTAGGTATGTACCTTAGGTGCCCGTAATTTACCACTCGGCCGGGAAGTAGTACCCAAGCAAGTAACATTTCTCGGGACCGGGATGGATGGGCACGGACACGGGCGTTCGGGCCGATCAGGAACCCTCCTCCAGGATCGTAGCGATATTCCGTAAGTACGGAACACGCCGAGTCAAAGGTGCTTACTTACATGCTGCATGCATGCAAAGTTAGTACCTAGGTACATAAGTGGGCACTGTTAGGAACGCTACTATGCAGTAGATAGGTACCTAGGTATATGTAGGTACTAGGTCGGAAATAACTCGGTGGTGATAAGTAAATAGGCCCATAGGGTCCTCCGTTCAGGTCACGTACTACTACTGTACATCATATATCTAAGTAAGGCCGCCGCCCAAGGGAGTACGGAGTATATAGTTAGCGAGGTGGAGAACAGATCAAGTCGAATCAAGGGTCTCGTTTTTATGAACCATTGTGGCGGGAATTTGACGACATGGAGTATTATATTACGGAGTACTCCGTATAAAATAGTCGAGTGGTCCCTGATCCATATTTCTTGCCTTGCCTGCCCTGGGGTTCTTCCTACGGAGTTTTCCGGTCTGTCTTCTTTCTATACTTCCTACCTATTATTCTTCCATTGTTGTTGTGGTTCTTCTTCATCTCTTCATCTATTTCTACGTCGTGCTGCGATTACTCCCTCTATCGTCCATTTTATTCAGCTTGCCCATGGCATACAGATTTCAGCGACATGATGGAAGGGCCTACTTGTAGGTGATCTTAAATCCTTCGTCTGATCCTGACTGGTCGAGGCTGACAGTGCTGTTGGCAGATGTGTCGTCTCGTCTACGGATAAGATATCTACCGGCTGAAATATCTACCGGATGAATATTCTAAGGTAATGAACGGAGTTGATTCAATTAAATGGGCCACATATGACCGAATAAAAATTAAGTACACTAACAAACCATGGGTATGCCGCCCACTCGCATGTTCATCATGCATTGCGGCGTCACGAAAGGGTATCTGATTATGAGCTGACAAAGACCACGGCAGAGTTACCATAGTTACCACCATTATTCTTATTATTGGCCACACGCATCAAAACATTGTGACCGTCAGAACAGGTGACACCAGGTTTGCAATGGCACATTTAGGCCGTCTCACGTTCCGTCTTGGTACGGCGCTCACGGCCCTTCTCGGACCACGGGAAGTGAGCAACCGGGATAATGAAGAAGCTGTTGCTGGTATCCGCAATACCGGCCAGGGCATTGTACCACGCGAGGAAGGCAGCCAGCAGAGCAAAGAAGCCACCCGCCTTCATGACCGGGGCGTTGGGAGCAGCACCGTCATGCCGGAGGTAGCTGATTCCCAGCAGCAGGAAGGCCAGATCCAGCGAGAAGAAAAGCGAGAAGAACGCCACGGTGGACTTCAGGGTGCACAGCAGGAGCACGAAGGTGAAAATAAACCAGCCCTGGAGTCAAGTTAGCGAGAAGCTCCTCCGAATTCTCCGATATGCTTACCATCAGGAACAGGCCGAAAGAGTTGAGGAACTCCTCTTCAGAGAGCGACTGCGCGATGTTGAATCCACCGGGAGTGAGGATAATGCCGACGGCAATCCAGAAGCCGCCATACGAGGACAGAGCAGTGGCACCAAAAGTGTTACCAACCGCCATTTCCCTATCACACCGGCCATGTCAGGAAACCGTTGCGCGATTCGGGGATAAGATAGGAATACATACCACATGCCCGCAAGAAGCTGCACCAGACCACCATATCCGAAGGCGGGACCGATGACGAGGCTGGGCTCCTTGATGTTACGCGTACCCATGTTGATACAACCCAGGACGAAAGTGGTCAACGCGAAAGCGCTGAGGCCAAGGGGAGCCGGGTTGGCGAACTTGCGTTCCGACACGGGACGGTACAGACCAGGCTGGAATTCACCACCGAAGGCAGGGAGACGGTTTTCGGCGGTGTTGACGTGGGCCAGAGGACCATAGCCAAAGCGAGCGGCCGCGCGAGCGACCTGCTCTTCCTCATGGGACATCTGAGGGTGGGCACGAGGACCGTTGGTCGCGTCGGTGGCCGCAGCGTTGGTGGTCTCCTTCTCCAACGCGTTGTCGTTGACCGTCGGCTCAGTAGCAGACATGGTGACGGAAGTGACTGGTTTCTTCTCTTAGGGGTCTGTTGAAATGAGCTTGAGATCAGAGCCAGCGCTGGAGAGTGCAGCTTCTGAGACGAGTGGTGAAGGGGGAAAAAAAAAGTTGAAGGGACGGAAGGATGGAAGAGGCCAGAAAAAAAAAGTGGGCGACGAAGGAAGCTTCAACCGTGTTGGGAAGGAACACAGACACAGGCCGCAGCAAACAAAGCCAGGGGAAGCAGGAGGCACAGCCAGCGGCACGAAGGCCAAACAAAAGACTCTGGCAATAATCCCGGAAAGGGGAGCAAGTAGAAACACACCCTGGCGGGAGCTTACCTGATGGGGACGGAGCAACGGTCGAGGTCGACGGCAGCAGTGACTCGGGAGTGGGGTGAATAATTAATGTGCCAGGGGAGCAGGCAGGTTAATTATGCACCGTGCTGGCTGGCTGGCTGACTGACTGACTGGAGATGGTGACTGACGACCGGGGGGGTTGTCGACAGTAATATACGACAGACGACTACTGCGATGACTACAAGAAACGACAGATCCTGCCCAGCGCTTGCAGAAAAAGGGCAGCACGTTCGCGGGGAAGACGCTGGAATGGAAGCAATCGAATCAGCTGAGCGGCAGAAAATCTGGAGATCACCAGCGCGAATCCTGGAGAGCCCCAGCAGGAGGAGGGGAACGTCTCCCAGATTGGCCGGGATGAATGGAAGTTTGACAGCGCTCTCTGGGGCAAGAAGCGGAGCGGCACTGGTGAGTCGTGACTGGAATGGCTGGATGCGATGGAGTCACCGGCTGGCTTCCCAACTGATCTACGCAGAAGTCCTCGCAGTACGCGAGTGAGGCTACTGACGAGCTCTGGAGTGGATATCTGGGGTAGCCAGCGACATGGGCGAATCACGGCCAGCGTCGCCACGCACCAACGCAGCAGCGCAACGATCCACGATCGCCTCTGCCAAAGGTCGGTCTCGCCTAGGCCGGGAACAGCGCATGGGTCAAGCCGAAAAGCTTAGTGATCCTGCTACACCGCGTCCAGAGCAACGGTTCGCAGTCATCAGAGCACCAACAACACCGGCGTTGGCTGGCTGTATAAGTGCTAGGGAGTTCACTTTGCACAAGCTGCACACTATGCCGTTGCACAGACGAGACCCTCGAGAACCGGCTAATTACGCAGTGGGCAGACCCGCACACAGCCTGAATAAACTCCAGTGGTCGCCGATCGACGCATGTTGCAACTGCAGAAGAGAAGGCTAACTGATTAGAAACATGCTCCCCACATTACCTCTCCTCTGGCGGTCTGCACGGAGTATTTCCTGTGTTTGTGCCCCGAGTCCACGACCGAGTCGCCAGTATTGGTCACTGAGAGACATCCTTGCCACAAAGGCCCAGCTTCTGGCTTCGTGTTGACCCCTTCATTCTCGCAGCCCACTTAGGCATGGTCCACGTCTGTGCGAGGAATCCAATCAGGACCCCAGCCCAGATGGCATGCATTCCGATTTCCCAGTGGTCCCATGCAGATCCATATTCGAGGAGAATGCTGCTGCGACTAAGGCTGACACTATCGCAGATAGACTCGAGACTATCAGGCCAAGAGCTGCCGGTATTTTATCCGTACTCCGTCTGCCCGGTGGGAGGTCAGCGATGACGCCAACATCCCTGGAGCAGGGAACCGGGAACCCTGGCAGGCCTCGCGTGCGGGGATTGCATTGGTGGCGAGCCTGGTCGACCGAGGCCGATGCCCATGGCAATGTCGCAGAAGCAGCAGCCGGTATTAATAATTGCAGCCACGGCAAGCCGCTGAGGTTGAGCTGACCCGCGGGTCGGATGACAGGAGCTTCCTATGGCAGTTAGCGCCGTCCCGTGTCCGAGTCGCCGCCTGAGGCAGCCAACGGCTTCTGTAGAGGGACATGACTCGCATCGTATGCTGTAGTACACCCTACTTGTAGTGACACAGAACTCGTAGCAGGCCGCGTGTACCTGTACACCGTACTCCAGACGGTTGCCAACTCAGAGTACCCCGTACTCCTACGTGCGTTGTAATCTGTCCCTCCACACTGTTGGTCCTCCGTCGTACGGAGTACGCGGAACAGCGGCACGCTCTCCGCCGTGCAACCAGCACCGGCTTCCGAGCATCCAGATCTGCTAGGCCGGGATCAGGCAGATTTCTGTGAAACGTTACACGGCCGTTTGGTTCCTTATGCAGAGTACCTTTTTTCCTCCGTGAAGAGTTCTGGGTACTCTCCCTACCTGTATAGGTACACACATATACTCTGTACTGCACATACTCCGTAGTAGCAACACTCCCCTAAATGCCTAAAGGGACTGAACTATCTATCAGTACGAGAAAATTTCAACAAGACATTCCTTTTTGCTCCCGGTGATTCTACAAACTTAAAGCGCGTCTCCTTGAAACAGGGAGACCAGGGGAACAGACCTCGTATTAATATCTATCAGCCCTGCTCCCTAATAAATGAACCCGTCCTTATTATTTGACGGGCATTAAACGGAGTATTATCCATTTATTAGCTGCCAAGCAACTAGACCACTTTCATACTGTCATTCTTGCAGCTGAGCCGTGATGGTTGATAATATTTTACCTAATTAATAAGCGCTGACTGGCGCAGAATGGCGTGGTGTGGCGTGCGCCAGGCCGCAGCTAGTTACAAACTCAAAACTCTGTACAGAGAGTAAGGAGTATTCCGGTAGAATTTTTTAACAATCATGTGCTGCTGAATTTCTGTTCCTGGTCTAGCGTGCCTGCTTCAGATGGTGCTTTGATGCTGCATGGCGTGTCGATATCGCGAATTCCATGGCCACTGTATCTTAATATTAGAGATGCTTTCTGACCTGGACCCCTTAAGTTTATATTCCCAATTGTCAGGGTAAGCTCTTTAGTCTATTCCCTCTTGCTTACTACCTTATAGAAGAGCCACAGAGTAGCCAGTCCTTCTCTAGCCATTGATGCCACTTGCAGCCCTTTTATAATAATAATAACAATTATGACTATGAGCTTCGACCTAGCTATAAGATGCCAGCATTCCGCAGAAGTCAATCATTTTCAATTTCCATTCTCCCTTTTTTCGTGTTCCAATTAAATTGCAATTCTGAATACTGCTACCTTAGCTATCGATCAACCAGATATTATTCGTACATGGAAGTCATTATGGCTGATCAAGATGGCTCTCGCTTCCAGATAGATCCAATCTCATTCACCAGCGAAAAAAAAAGCAATCCAATGCCACCGAGCACCATCCTGAAGCTACGCGGCTGTTCTCTCCAGCATGTTAGCTTCTTAAGCAAGCAGCTTATCGCATAGCATACCTAGGCAGGAAGAAGATTGGTTGCAATAGCATATTATAATCCCCATCTGCCTTAAAGTTCAGTAGCTCAACTTTAACACTTAGGAGGTCTAAAAAAGTAAAACTGTGTTTCCAAATAATAATAGCAGGTATTGTCTTCCTCAAGCTTATTGTATATCTTCTGGAGACCTGCAATGATTCCCACATGGTCTTTAGGCCATTTAGCAGTTTCTTTGGCCTTCTGTCTAGAAAGCAAACCCAGTAAGCCACAGAGGGTGCAACATAATGACATGCTGACTACTGACCACCCAGATCGATTTGCAATAAAACGACCTCAGGAATAGGAGAGGATGAGTGATAACAAAGAATTGGATCGATGACCTGTTGTCCCAGTTGGGTTTAGCGCATGGCTTTCCCTGGTTCTTAGGTATGATTGGAGCCTGGCTGTGGATTAGGGCTGGATTGGAGGGCTTTCTCGTCCACTACCTAGTATCTGGCCAAGTTAAACGGTTCTAAGTATTCATAAAAGATGGAAGGAGAACTGAATGCAGGGGCGAGCGCAAGACCAGCGGCGGACCTCGTCCTCTATCCAGACGCAGAGGATGAGCTACAATGGAAGCGCTGACTGATTACCGCATATACTCTAACGCCTAGATACCTAGTTCGAATTTCAATGCAGGCGGCCGGCTGGCCTGCCGCTCTGGGCAGCGTGCAGTAATAGTCAAGGCTAGCTGGCGCTGACACCAGCGGTTTTCGCATGCTTGCTGGCAGCTGCAAGGATGAATCCAATAGACGATCGCCGGATAAAATCCCCAGATTTTTATTATGAATAGGAGCTACCTACTTGGGTATTATTCTACCGGCATCTCGCTTAGGAATGTACCAGGGTAGATTTGGGGTATTATTCATTCCGGCTAAATGCGGGCAGATAGTGCCACAGCGATAGAAAAGAGAAAGATATTAACAGAGTTATATAAATAAGACAAGCTCTAGAATAAAATTATAGAGCGTCTGTTTCATGTCTGCTTTAGGTAGATAGATACTACGTACCTACCTAGGTAGATAGCTGTTGCTCCCTTTATCTAACCTTATCATGAATCTATCGGGCGAAGCAACGGAGGTTCCGTGTTGCCGGTAGCGAGCGAGAAAGAGATAGCACAGAGCTGGCTGTACAGTACATGCTACTACATACCTCAGTGAACGTGTCTGTGGGCATATACTCAAGACTATCCATTATTGAGTTACTTACCTAAGGTACCGAACGAAGTACCGACTTGACCATTTACCAAGGCACCACCACTACCTAATCCGGACTGTTCACTCACTCACCTTTACCTCGGTACCTGGCCTTCAACTTCCCTTCGTCCAGCTCTAGCAGCAAACACGACAAAAACAACCCCCAACATCACTGATTGATGGGCCTCATTACTGTTGCATTCGGTCCGGCGGAGCGGAAATCTTGTTTTTGCGGTGATGCTTTTTTTTTACCTTAAACAACTGGGTCCTCTATACGAAGTACGGAGTAATACTCCGTACCTAGGTACGTTCTTCGGATCTTGACCCACAGAATCCTTTTTTTCACCTCTCTTCTATAAGATTACATGCTATTCCGCAGTGGAGAAAGGGAAATAAAATATCGGTACGAAGGAATTAATCTTTTTTTCTTAGCTGGATTCAGGACGGAGTACTATGTTAGAGATACCTAGATACCGTGTGGATACAGACTGATACAGTAGATCCTAACTTAGACGGATGAACGGAGATAATATGCCTTTTTTTTTGATTGGATATCATTAACCACAGCGCTTAAACTGCCTGTTAAATCTCGAGTTAATCTCAACTTCCCCATTCCTGATAATGACCCGCAAGTTCGGAGTAAGTAGTGCGGGAATACTCCGTATCTCCATGCCTGGTAGGAAAGACCGTGGCGAATGCTAGAATATTGTATTGAAGATCGTGAACTAGGTAAATACATGGAGAGGCGCTATTAGGCCCAATACGGTATAGCTACTAGCATCACCACTGAGATACCGTGACAATGCCGAATAAATCGTTGTTGAACAAAAAATTTTCGAATGCAAATGTTTGATAAAAGGGACAAAAAAATAAATTTAGAAAAAGTTTAAATAAAAAAGATGTTCCGGTACCGGGAGTCGAACCCGGGTCTGCTGTGTGAAAGACAGCCATGCTAAACCGCTACACCATACCGGATTTTATTGAAAGTTTTTTCCGGGTAAACGATAGAAGAAAAAAGTGGGAAGGATACCTGAAGGTGACGGCATCACTACCAGTCACGTGACTAATTTCAGTAATAAATCTCGAGAGGGTGCTGGAGATGTAGATCTAGTATTATATTAATCAGATCATTGGTACACTTATAACCTGGTTTTTCTTTCTTTTTCTTTTTTTTTTTAAATTTTTGGCGAGATGATCTAGCTCTCTTTTGCATTGACTACCCATCCAAGTGCACTGATTTCACATAAGATTCAAATAAAGCTATGAACTAGAGGGGGTCTATGTAGCCATCTGTGGCAAACTAACACTGATACGGAGTAGTCAAACGTGAAGTACAAATGCATGAGTGAGCCTAGTCACCTTCAATTCTCAACGATGCTGCGCCAGTCAGCATCGTCTCGCCTCTTTTCAACAGCGCTTAAAGATACCCCTCCTTGTCTTTTTCTTTTCTTCCCTCCTTTTTTTTAACTTTTCTTTACGAAGTGATATTCTAGACCAATAATCAAAAATAGCTTATATATTGCTGACCTTATTTGGTCGGGCCATCACGTACTCCAAGGAAATGGAAGCTGTCGTGCTATCTGGAACGATTCTTCAGTTCGTACAGTACAATTCAGCTTGGAGTTTGTGACTCGCTTTAGGCAGATATATCATTCTGCGAATGAACATTCTACTTCATAAAATTCAAGTCAAGAAGCCTACCTGGTCTACTTCAAGTAGTGAAGAGTCATCTGAGGTATGGGACTGGGGTGAGAGTATAAAGCTCGACCGAGCAACTGGACTCTGCATGTCAAGGAATGGAAAGGCGTCAAAGTCTCATTCGTGATGTGCACACCGTAGGGATTCTCCCGCGATAAGTGCTTGCGCTGCTTCAAGCCTCAGGGACGAAATACTTATAGCCGGCAATATAACCACTGATGAGCTGTCATGAATACTGAGATGGGTTAATAGGCTAACGGCACTCAGCAAATCGTGTCATCTGGCAATTCGCTGGGTTGAGCCCAATGACATTGCGTATGAGCCACAGGATGTGAGGATAAGTATGAGTCCTGATCTATATCGCGACCATCGATTACAGCTACGTCCAGAGAGGGTAGCTGCAGACACTAGGCATTCTTCCTCAGAGCATGAAAGTCAGTCCAGACGGACAGCCAGTAATCGTGACAACACCCCAGCAATTGACCTTGTGTGTCATCGGCTTACGATGAAGTGGGAGCCACTATTTAATATCATACATCGCTATCTCTGTTGCCGCTGCATCGTACGACAATCCACGCCCTCCCGCGGACGAGATTGAAGGTGCGTGTAAGGATCTGCACCACGCTTTGGACGAAGCGGGGAAAGAGGTATGGAATGCGCAAGATGAATTCATATTTCAAGTCAATAGCAAGCTTGAGGCAATGGGGCTCCAGCTGCCCGATCATGTTGCGGAAGCTGTCAGAGACGGACGATATCGACGAGGACTTGACGAGATAAATATGGTGTTTAGCGCTGAACGTCATCGTAAAATACTTGCGATAGTCCCATGACTAAAGAGGTGCGCGAGATCCTGGATGGGAAATGGCCAGGGAAAACCTCACTGGGCAGTTGAAGGTTGAGCTTAAGAAGCAGAAGCAACTATAGCCTGAATCTTAAAACTCGTCACGAGCGTTTCTGACGGCAACCCTGTTAGGATCCCCGATTTCTCTTATGTTACACGCGATTAAGGACACTTTATATGGTAATTTTACTGTACCACTCATACCTGCTATTGGTAGAATTTGTCTGGCGTTGAACTGATTAATTCTTTTGAGCAAGATCAGTGAGATTACCTAGGTAGGTCAAAATATCATATAAAAATCTGCGAGCAGCTCTTTCCTTCCTCATTCAGACATCGCCGCTTTAAGCGGGTGAGCTGGGTGAGTCAGGTGATCAGATTTAATCACCCAGTTAAGGTGATTTGCTCACCTGAGCTCATTTATACTCACCCCATCTTCACCTGTCCTTCCCTTATACTTGCGCCGGCTGTTTAGCAACATCCAACTCAGGAACTATGCAGAGAAGAGATTGGATAATGAAGGTGGCAGTGTGCCATCCCCTGCTGGCCCCAGAGAAAAGGACAATGGGAAAAATTGTGTCCTGCGACCCTGTTTCTCCTCTGTTCTTTCCAGCCTTTCGTTTCCTCTCCCTTTCCTCCCCTTCTGTACTTGTTAATGATCCTGCAGAAATCTTTCTGTATTCTATGCCTATCTCTATAGAGTTCCTTTGCTTTTCTTCTCATTTTTTTTCTTCTCTTTACTTCCTTTTTTTCTGCCACAGGATCAGTGGTTGAAGTTTTCCAAAATGCCGAAGACAAAGGTGGATAGGCTTGCTCATGCCAAAGCAAATGGCTATGAGAGAGGCGCACAAGGACAGTGTGAGAGCAGAAAACAAATATTTGGAGGACTCAATCCAACTTCAGAACAGGGTTTTGGAAGATTACAAGATGTATACATACTGTGATCCACTGTCTTTTATGATGGTAACTAATTATGTTGAAGATGGGCATCACAGGATAGTGATATGAATAAAAAAGATTGTCTTTGTGAAGGGCAACCTGCACCAGACTTGGCCACTATTAAGGACTTCATTCGCTATTATATATTCTCCACCCAAGGAATGCTCTCTATCCGGCAAACCGTGTCTTCTGTGTTGAACTTTGCTGAACGATTTTTTGCCAGGTTCACTCATGTTACAAAGACCACTTTTGACAAGAAGGACGCAGAAGATGTTTACTATGTAGGTTGTTATAGTTGAGGTGTTTCATGCTATATTCTGATAACAATAAGTGGATTAGGAAGACCCTCATTAAGGAGGATATTATTGAGAACAAGAAACGCACCAAGCACATGTTTACATATTGTGACTTAACCAATATCATTTTTTCCATGTGGACTGATGATGACCCAGTTTTCATTCATAAGCGACACAGGATTCAAATGACCTTTGCTATCCTAATATACTGCTACTCCGGAGCAAGAATTGGGGCCTTTATTCCAGATATGTCAAAAGCAGATTATCAGGGACTGCGATATGAGGTATGGATTATTATCCTATGTTATTGGACATGTCTCTGAATGGCTTTAGGACATTGAATTATATCTATATTGCAGGCCTGATGGCGAAAAGGAAATTTTCTTCTGTCTTAGTCAAAAATGGGTGAAAAACAATCATGACCCCAAAAATACAGTGTAAGACATGCTCTTTCTTGCCCCCAAGCCAACATCCTGACTGGCCTTTTCTAGGTTCCGTGTGGTAATGAGAGAACACGGGAAGCTTCGCTTCAATCCAGTCCCCTATCTACTGATGCTAGCATTTGCAGACAACACGCTTTTCAGCTTAGATAATATTGAGGCGCTGGACAACATGGAACCTGATGGACGAGCCCATTTGGCTGCTGTGGAAGCCATGTGTTCAAGGTGAACCAGTTCTTTGGATGGTCACCAGAGCCGGTGGTGTTTCAAGACATGCTTTAACTTGTGAGACATTCTGTCGACTTTTCAGAGCAATAGTCTGCAATGCTGGATACTATAAGATTATTACAATCCATAGTTTACAGCGCGGTCTTGCAAATAAAATTGATAGTAAGTGGTTATGCAAATGTTGCGTATGGCCATATGCGAGACTGAGACTGAACCCTGTTCAGAGATCGCCACTGAAGCCGAAAGAGGCCAGCTGCTGAACCAAACTGATCCTCATGTCTATGGATGCAGCTATATTGCAAACACTTCAGCTCTGAGTAGCATGGATGCCTTAAAGAACAGATGCATCAGGACCATATCAAATATCTCCAAGGGGTTGGCAAATATCGCAAGAAAGGGTATCCAACGCATCTTCCAGCAGAAAGGCAGGATATTGTTCTACATGACCCAGTCCTTCTTGATCTTGAGCAGCAGCTACAGAAATTGACCCTAGAGAAGGCAGATCCTTTTGAGGTTTCCATGACCAAGAAAAGGATATAAATGCAGAAGCACCGTCTCCACATGCAGGCACTTAAAGATTATCAGAACAACTGGGTTCAGAAGCGATTAGAAGGAAAAATCCTATCTCGTGGAAAGTCCGTGCCAGATGATATCATACGGAAAGATATCATCTGTGGTATCTTCCTGGTCCTGCCAGAACGCCAGCGACTGGCTCAGATGATACCCTTGGATAAAATTCTCGCTCATTCTGAAATGCTCTCAGCGGTCAAGGACTTGTTTACTTATATACATGGGACTATGATGTCGTGTATCGTCCTGGGGAAGAGCCATTGGGTGGTATATGTCCTGCAAGAGGCTGCAATTTCTCATTACAAATGTGAGTCAACTCATGTGCTTAGGCTTATGACAAACACTCATCAATGACTTTAGACTCCCTTGACCGCAACAAAACAACCATACTCATTCTTGCAGACAGCAAGAATTGTCACTTGCTCTTGGATGCCGGCCACAGGACCTAGAGTACTGCTATAAATATGTCCAGTTTGTTACTAAAGACAAGTGGGAAGAGCATTGCAAAGGACATCTTGAGTCCATCAGCTCCCAACAGTGTGAGATCATCACCTACTGCCATACCCTCATCCGACCAGGGTACTGCCTTTTCTGCCTGGGAGATAGCACCAAATTACCTTCCAGGCGCATGAAACCCTGGACGCGCAGTAATGAGTTAAAGGATCATATAGAAAGTGATCATCTGATGGATGCACATTGGCCACAGCGGTGCCGACATCCAATGTGTAATCAGCAAGACCTGGGTAAAATGGCCCTGTATTATCATCTTAGTGACATACATGGCCTACACAATGCTATTTGGAATAAGACCAACAGACCCATGTTTAAAGTTGAAGACACAGATTCAGAGGTCGACGCAGAGCTGAACAAAACCAGAAATAAGAGACAGCCTGGCAAAATCGACATAAGGGAGGCGGAAAGAAGGCGACCAAAAGGATAGAAAAGAACATGAACAAGAGATCTTAGTCAAGATAAAGGGCTCTGCATCATTGAGTGGCAACATCCAAGCAAAGAGAAGCAGGACGACTCCTGTGTTGAAAACATCAAAATACAGTGGAGCCCTCGTCTTGCTAACTGGACGCCGTCAGAGAATCAGTATGTTAATATCAACGACAACAATAGTCATGGCCCTCCTAGCCTTACATCCTCCCAGTCTACAACTCCTTCAGCACTGGATGGACTTATTGATCTATGCTTAATGAATGATAACCCAATAATAGAGATTGTCAACTGACATCTTAATGTGAGCCATGACTTTTATGTTTCATTCCTGCTAACTGCAGATTAAAGAGTTAGGACTTAGGCCATGCAAGATCGTTTAATCTTTTCTGATTGGACGTTTAATCTTTTTTGATTGGAGGAAGGAGGTGGATGTGGCTACATAGGCTTATGGACATTATACATCATCAAATGAAGTATTTGCATTAGTATAAGTAAGCAAATTCATTCTGGTTTGTTTGGTCTTGTGATGTATTTCTTAGCCTCTGAGCAAATGCATCCAGGTAAATTCAGTAAATTAACAATTCTATCCTTAGAAACTGCTTCCTTTCATCTTTGACTGCCACAAGTCCATGGTTGCCTTTGATACTCTTGCCTCTTTTTCAGTGTCTATAATGCCGCTGTTGGTCCCCCTGATTCTGTTGAGAGATGTTTGGCTCAAGGTTACTTTCAAGACAAGATATGAAGTCCATTGGGCTCCTAGTAGTCCAGCTCAACGAGCCACATATGATTCTAGAAGATCACCGGCAGCACCTCCGTAACCCAAAGAATGTGTCTAAAGAAGCTAGAGGATTTATTGAGCACACACCAGTAGCCACTTACAGGCTGGAAAAACTTCAAATTTGGGATAACAAGATTTGACAGTATTACTGTCTATGGTTTAGTGGTTTTAAAATAGACTGAAAATGTTTCTAACTAGTTCATTGCAGGTAGCACAGAACAGAAAGTATGGCGTTAATGTCTTTACCACAAAAAAGGGACATTGTAGGCATATTTTCTTAAAGCAATGAGCAGCCGATGGGGTGAAGGTAAGAAAAAGAAAAGAAAAACAACAATTTCCCATAGAATTTCTGTGGTTAATAAGTGAAGAGCATGTGTTGACTGAATACCAGTTCCAACTAATCACAATCTCCAAACATTTTAAATGCTACACTGACCAAAATCTTTTTTTTTGGTGGTTCAACCTTAGAGAAACGCTAACCACTTCCTTGTTTTACCCTCTCTGTCCATTTTGGGGACCAAATCTCATTCTTCATATCTCTTCTGCCGTTTTCCCGCTCGTTGAGCTCGCGATGTTTGAGGAAGTTCTTGATGGTCCTGTTGTTTTCTCTTCTGGTCTTCTCTTTGCTTTCTTCTCTCCTCTGCCTCCTCCAAAGCCTTACGTTTGTTGTATGCCTGAACTGAGGCTCTGTCTTCTCGATAATATTCAAGAGAATCCCTCAATTGACGCTCCAGTGCTTCTAGTGGTAGCTTGTCTTCGAGTTTGCAAAATTTCTGATGAAAATTTTCGCTAAGGGATCCAGTGCCATAGAAGGTTTTGATAAGCTTACCTTTTGAAGAGGTTTGCTGAGGGAGAATACATAAGTCCATAAAGAGGGGGGGAGTTGTATTGAGTCTGGATGGCATGTTTCTCTGGTACAGAACCACATCTCAGCTGTAAAGGTTCCCACGAGTGAACAGTTTCCATGATCCTGATCCCACCTGACGATATGGGCAGCGAGGGCATCATCAGTCTCAAAATGTTGAAGAATCTCTGGGTCTGATAAGCCCCAAAATGAGTCTTCTTCTTTGCTGTTGTTTTCACCACTTTGCTCCTTAATATCAATTGCAACGACTAGCTCAGTGATGTTGTTGGTTCCATATAACCAGGCCTTTGCATCTTCGAGCAGATCTTTTCTGGTGGATGAGAAAGCAACCTCAAGAGCTATCAAAGGACGAAGGGATCCCTTCTCCACAATAGAACTGTCAGGCGCCTTAAAACTGCCTCGATATTTGCCACTAGTAAGACAGAAGGCTAGTTGAACATGTTAGTAACTAGGTTAGATTGATTATGTTATACCAGCATCTGCTGCTTACTTTTGTTCTGATAGGTCTTCAGATTCACACTATCTTCCTCTTGAACCTTGCCCACTACCTCTCTAAACCAGTTGCTTATGACATTAACTGTCTCTCCATGCACAGGTCCTTGTCGTGCTTCAATAATGATGCTTTCAAGGTAGGAGTCATATTCGATGCCGCCCAGGTCATTCTTGTTGCTCCAGATTGTAAATTCCTCAAATTTAACCTTTGGAGTTCTATTTAGTCTGAAATATTTCCTTAACCTGAGATTATTTGTCACATACCTTGAATTTGTCAATTACCATCTTTCCAACAATCATATTCCGTAGCGCCTCCACAGTATCACTTGTCAGGTTCTGAATTGATTCAACTCCTTCAAGGATATGATCAATGGCATCCTGCTGAGGATCCATGTTGTACACCTGCAAAAGTTCTTTGGTCTTGGGCCTTGCTTGTTTGTACTGGTTATGATCAAGAAGAGCGGCCCTGTCAGTCTTTATTAGTTTGTCTGAGGGTTCAGATGCAGGTTTGGTCTTTGTGCTAAAAGTAGGGGCATAAGGAATTGGTTTTTGCATGGACTTGAAAGTGCTTTGGCGCTTAATAGGGGTAGGTGACAGAGCCCCTGGCTCATGACTCGACTGCTGGCCATTCTCACGAGGACGTAATGCAAAAGGTGAAAAGAAGAGAGTTTTTGCATCACCAATGACAGATGTCATCGTCTCTTTGTTGTCACTATGAGGGATCTAGAACCTTGGTAAAGATGCCAATATGATTAATATATGCCTGGGGAATTGTTCTGCAACTGATGGAAAAGAGGGATCTATACCATTGGCATTCCTTTGCAGATCCTATGGGAAGTACTAGATGGGCGAGGTTATATATCTTATAATCATACTGCTCTTGTCTCACTTTCCTTTTATTTATCTTACTGGTCTGTATATACAGATAGAAAGCTTCCAAGCCTGGGGAGAGCTACACATGAGACAGAGAGCCTGCTTAAAGGGCTTTCTTTGTCTTCTAAGAGTAAGAAACAACATGAACTCGAGTATGTCTCTAGAATTACTCTGTACGAAAGTAAAGAAGACAGTATTTATGGAACAAAGAATGGCTTGAACCAACATTCTCATCACACTGGTCAACCTGTGCTGTCCATGTATTATTGAACAAAGAAACGGGCCTCATTATTTGAAAGCCCTGCAACCTATAGGTAGGATTCTTAACATCCCTCCCAAAAAGAAAGAAACCTGGTCTGGTCCTGTGGCTGAATCAAGACATTAGGTGTGTAATCAACCTAAGTTCTGTCTTTCCTTCTCTAGCATCTGACAGGGCCTACAAACAGTATTCTTACAATGATTGCAACAGAAGCATGGAAGATAGACCATCTATAAATAGTAAGAAAAAGGAAAATTTGTCACCTAGTGGCAAGTCTTTGATAATCGGCTCAGACAGCAGTTCTCTGGGCCTATTTTGTCCAATGGAACCTTCCTTATACAGTAATTTAGGATGAACGCTTTAGACCTGTTAAATTAGGTCCTTTACTGCTGATGCATTCACATGTATAACCATAGGATATAGTCCAGGAAAGCCTACAATCTACAGGGAACACAGATACCTAAAAAATAGGGTGGTGTCAGTTGTTTGAATCATGGCAACTGCAACTTTCTCTACTTGCAGGATGGTTAAATACTCACCTGGTCCAGATAACTACTGCCTATAACATAGTTTGGTCAAGATGGTCTTAAGTAGCAGAACAATTCAGGTATAAAAGAGCCTTACAGGTAAAATCAGACTGGTCGGCGAGGTGTGGCAGGCGTGTGCGCTTGTAAATGGTGACGACGCAGGCACTGTAGACCACAACGATGTCATTAGCAATTTTGCAATAATAGAACCTGTTATGTGGAAGGTTGGATCTCCTACATACAACCAACGCCCAGTGTGACAATCAGACCCAGTTTCTTCTTTACGTTCATCTGGAGTTTCTAGAGTACCGCGCCTGCATCTCTGTATTAACTGCTGTCAGCTGCACTGTACTGGCAAGTTTTCGTATATATGAATGACATCAGACAGGAAAGTCTTACCAAAACTTCGGGCCGCTCACACAGTCCAAGACATTCAAGATGGCACTTGCTTAGTAGTTGGCGCAATTCAGCCCTTTCAAAGGAAGCAACATCCTGATCAGGGTTTATATTCAAGGATCTAAGATCCAGTTCGTGGCTGTAATCGGCTTCACCCTTATACGAGTCAAAATAATTGTTGTCAAGAAATAGGGTCTGTCTTTCATGATATACTAATCGGCGTAGGGAGGATTGGTGATGGAGAATGCCACTGGCAATACTATCAGAAAAGTTCTCAACGTCAACAGCAAGGTAAAACAGCTCTTGAAGGCCTTGAAAGGCGTTGAGAAGCTTAACAATGCCTTGCACCGCACCGGGTTCCAAGAGGTCTGGAAATGTCAATTCCAGGGCCCGTAACTGGATTTTCTGCCCAGAATCTGCCAAAATTTCCAAAAATGAGGAAGTATCTTCACATTCTTGCAGCATTAGTGTGTGTAAGTTGCTGAAGATGCATGTTTGCGAAGTCTTCAATGTTGTTGGTAGTGGGGCACGCCTGAGACGAAGATCGCGGAGTGCTGGGAGTCTATTTTCAATCAGTTTTCTGCTCAGAGCAAAAGAGTCTCCCTGATATACCTCATTCCGACTACCCCATCTAGGCAGGAGCTTTTTAGGTCAAAGCTCCAGAAAAAAGAAACGGCTAGTGTCGACAGATGGTGGGCATTGACCTCTAGGCACGTCTGGAGAAGCTCAATATCTGTTCTTCTATGACACAGACAGGAGATTTCTTGGAGCTTCTGAAGTCGCCGAACAGCTTCATGATGCTGTTTAGATTGACCAGCGCAGTAGTTGTCTCGACTGACGAAAGTAAGAGAATAAATCTCCGTCTGTCTAGTGGAGAAGTATTCTAAAATCTCCAGCGGCAGACAAGTGGCCAATTCCCAGCTAAGAGAAGGAGTCAGTCCTGCTAGGAGGAATGACGACCGACATTCGTACCTTAACTTTCTCAAACTGTTGTCTATCAACTGGTTTAGCAGAGGGGCCAAACTTGCTGCAATCGCACTACTGCTAATCCACCGACCGGTGTTAGAGATAATCGAGATATCTCCTCCTGAACAACGCACGCGTGTCATTGAGCCATGAGGGAGTCGAGGATAAGTGATACGGAGATGCTTTAAATTTTGAAGATGTTGTGTCCTCGCCTTGGACTGCAAGATCTTCTCCACGTCGAATCGCAAGGACGAGTCGCTAAGATAGATGGTGATGGTTTCTACAGTTTGGCAACTGTAGACCTGTAAAGACTCCAGGAAACGCAACAGAGATTCCTCAGGTCCTGTGGATTCGATATCTATTGAAGTTAGAGATCTATGGTTCCAACACAGGACAGAATATTTACCTCTTCCAAGATTATCTGATAAATTTCCAGCGGTATAGTGTCTAGAGACACTTTGCGCGGAAATAGGAAATCTTCCAGTCCTTCGAATTTCATTTTTTTTAAAAAGAAAAAAAAAGTCTGCGAGTCTAGTATATAAAATAAATGAAATGACGAGAGACGTAGGAACAAAGGATGTAGGAGACGACTAGAGACGCTACCTATATTCAGTCCTGAGAGGCGCACCAAATCGGATCGCAGCAGTAAACTGGATCGCGGCAGCAAAATCGGAACGCAGAACACAATCAAGTGATATATCGAGTAAAATATGCATTGCTTTATGCAATCTTCGCAGTGCACTACGTCGGCTCCAACATCCATCCTCGAAATTAGCGCGGCATTCTTGATTTACTAATGGACTGACACCAAATTACGGATATGGGGTTAACCTAGGGAGAGAGCAAAAAGCCAAACGTCAGCACCAACGACTGCTACATTGTCCAGGAGATTTGATTGTAAGGCAACTTCATTCGATAGGAACGAATGGCTATGTACAAGAATCCTTGCACAAGGAAGGAAAGGAGGGAGAAGCGAAGGCACACTGATGTCAGGAGATAGACAAGTCGAAAATATACTAAATCCCTTTTGGTAAATATTATGTGCCTAGGATAGAATCCAGATAGAATCTAGATTTTAGTAGAATCATGTGTCCAGTCAGGGCGAGGTCCCTGACAGCATCTTCTTCTTTCGGAGGACCAACAGCCTAGCCAATGAAAAATTCAACATTTCATAAATCCAGGGGGAAAAAAAGATGGCAGCCATGCCAGAACTACATCATTGAAACCGCATTCGTAACATTTAATAGTGGAAAATCTCTACAGCTCGTGATGTCATCAGCTCGACTGTTTTCTTCGCTGCAATAACCGCCATTATGTGCGCAATCTCATTCAGCTGATAGCCTAGAATTTGCCCCCGGTAATTTGCCGATGTACTCGTCGACACGGTCAGCGACTCCTTGTAAGTTTATCTGAGGCGACATGCTTTCACGTTTCAGAAGACTTCTCACGATCGGATCAAGAATCTGGAAAATCTCAATCGCTTTGGGATAGCACTCAGGAATATGATTGATAACATCCCAGGTCGTGATTCCTCTCCAACTATTTCGGTTTCTATGTAAGGACATATCAGCCTTGAACATACCACCTCAAGGATCAAGTAGACGAACATTGCGTTTGCCAATCGCTGCCCGTCCAGTATTGTCGCGGTGCCAGGCAGAGCCAGAGTCGCGGAGTCAGATGACGTAGACGGTGTTGAAGGCGGTGTGGGGTTGTGCCGGCAGAATTTCTCGATATCTTCCCTCACCTACTACGCCTTGATAGCTTCCTTCTTCTCTTTTCTTCTCCAGCTTCGGATCTTCGTTAGATAGCTGCCAAATGAACTGATTTCACTTGTTTGAGCCGTCACAAGTATAATACATCCAAACGATAACTTCTTTGCCATAAAAAGCCATTTTTGCCTGCGGCTCTTTTCTCTTTTGTATAAATATTTCCGCCTCGCGCGAGTGGAAGGGTCTAATTGGTCCCAGTCGGTATACGCTGCTCGGAGAATCCTATCAAATGCTCGTGTCTCGTCACGATATCGTGTCTGGTTCGATATTTTCCATCGAATCGTTCTTCCCGGACCACTGCCATCGTACGTAGGAATTGTTCATATTGAAGAATCCACACAAGTCGTAACCGAATGGCAGTTCGTATCTTCTCATCGGTAACTATCTCGCCTTCAGCTGGCAGGCTCGATATGGCCATATCTCCAATCGAAAATCTGTGTCTAAGAAAGTCTCCCGCATCTTCCCAAAAGAGGTCACGTCGCGTCCGAATTAGTTGATGCACGTCTGAAGGACATCCTGGAGATTATGTCTTGGCCCTCGGATTGCTGTGGCTCTGATTTTTCCGTGTCTCGCTTTTGTATTACAGGGTATGCATTGCGTAGCTCATTTTGAATGAACTGCTCAAGGTTCGGGGTTTCTGCTGTATGATCTGCAGTATCCTGAGCGTGTGTCATGTTTGTTTCAATTGGTGCTGGGTCTTCCTATTGCCAGTAGAACTTTTTTTTGAGGTATCTGCAACAAGAGGGAGGAACTGAATCGCTTTAAAATTCGGAGAATTGCATTCCGGTCTGGATGCGAGCCGGTTTTGACTGCGAGCCGGTTCTAATTGCGAGCTGCTTTGGAGGCGACTGCTATGCTTTGCCATTAAGGATGGATCTTGTGGTCTTGGGCTTAGGCTCGCTCGATTATTTCGACGGAGCTGTAGGTTATTGTTCCTTTCCTCTTGATGCCTGATATATTAGGATCTCGCGGCATTATGAAGACAATCGGACGCCTGGCCAGAAAGACAAAGACTGCAGTTGAACAGCCGTTGCTGAAATACAAACTATAACATCATAAGATTCTCAACCAGAAATATGGCGCTTTTCCCGACTCTGGGAACTATTGTCATCTTCAAGTTTTCTCTTTCCTGTCTGGACAGCATATGCGGACAAGTATCTTCGCAACTCACTTAACGAGATTTGTCCATATCCGTTTCTAATTCCATGTCTTTGGGCAAGCCTTCTTCTGCCAACCAAGACAAGTCGCTTTTCTAAAGCATCTTCATATACATTCTCTGGTGCCTCCACCTCATCCCCGTTGATAGTAAGAAAATAGTGATCTCGCGCAAGATCATTCAAGGTCAGCCGTAAGTTTAACCCACCCTGAGCAAGAAACTTGATATATCCCCGGGACTCAAACATATAAAGCACAATGAGGTCTCTGCTATCAGAGTCACGCCACATATCAAGGACCTGGGTTGCACTTCGATGAAGAGATATCTCTGCTCTTTTCTCCAATGGGGCCTTGCACGTGTGATCCTCGAACCCATGCGCCAGTGGCGGATCAATCTCAACCCCGTCCATCACACGATCAGGAGTACCTGGAGAATGAGGTTCGAGATCAACGGGTTCTGATACTACAAGCTCCGGTAACTCATCGTGAACCGACATATTCCCGACTGAGTGCGTCGCTGTTTCCTCACCTCTTTGGTTGTCCTGGACCAGAGTATTGCCTGTTGCTGTATGTTGCGGACTAGCTGCGCTTTCATTGGCCTCTTGACTGTCCGTACCTTTTGTTTGAGCGGGATTAGGTGGCACAGGAGCATTCCCTTGAGATAGTATTGCGTAGGGGGGTTCTCGACCGAAAAACGAAAAGAAGATTTCTCTGGTGACGGCAAAGGAAGTCGGGTACTGTCCCGGGGACTGACTCGGACTGCATATATGCTCGACAAAGAGGTACGTTCTATCCCTCTCATATTCGTCCACCCGGGGGCTATTGTATCTGCGATGGGCCATTTTATCAGGATCATGCGTGGAAAACATTGGCGTGCCTCGTGGCTTTTCTTGGCGCCTAGACAGATTCCGCAAGGATTCCTTGAATTCCAGTGCCATTAACCTGATCTTGTCATCTTCGACCATATAAAGCTCTTCTCTGCAGATGGCCCGCAGAAACTGCTCCATAGTTGCTCCATCAAAATCTGTCTGTCGAAGCTCCTTGATTTTATTCGAAGTAAAACCAATCTGTCAGCCAAGATTGCCATCTTGCTTAGAGACCGAGGCTCTATTGGCCAGTCTGCTGGCTCTTGTTCGGATTTCCGTTCCATGTGCGGCAAAACGAAATGTCTTAGAGCGAACAGCCACAGTTGCATCATAGCGAGCGAGAAAGAGCTCCCAAAAACCGGCATAGTTCTGAATTCATGTTTCGAAATCTGTATTTTACACTGTCCATGGGTTCCAAGGGGTTGATGCTGTCTTAGTATGGCATGCTTCAGCGATCCCTTGAACTTTTTGGAAGGAGGCTGCGAAATGCCCTTGCGGGCCGCTCCAGATACAGTGTGTCATGTATAAGCATGTTGAGTGAGAGTATTCTTCCAGGGATCACAAGCAATCGATCCAAAAGCGCTTTCCTTTCTTCTCCCCCGGGAACGAGAGCAAAGAGCCGTCCAGATTCCATGAGCTCCATAATTCGTGTCCGTCGCTGCATGAATACTGTGGCATAAGGCCCTCCAAGAGCCGTATAGAAGTGGGATCGACGTAGGACGCCTTTTCCTTAGAGAAGAGAGTCGACCAAATCTGGTGAATGTTGCCTAAATAGTGATAGACCTCCTAAGTCGTCGGTCAGTGTCAAGGAAAGAACTTTGAGTGGGCAGCGTAGACATACCTCATGGCATCGCATTCCCAAAATTCGTTCAACTTGGGTCGACTTTAATGGGTTCCAGATACCAATGTAGGGCAGCAACCGGTCAAATCCCTCGCGAAGGAGGCTGTTACTGAGCAGTCGTCGAAAGTCCTTCCTTCGATCATCGGATTCAAACTTTGCCCACCACTTTCTTGCTTGTGCGGTATCGTTAAGAAGCTCATACTGCCGGTAGATCCGATATATTTCACCATCTTTGAAATTCCGCGCACTTGAAGATTCCTCTCTCAGTTGGGTCAACGCCTCAGGAGGCAGAGCTTTCAGCTCAGTTAGCATGTACTACGCAGGTCTCCCTCAAAAGTAGCGTTACCATCTAGATATAATTCCACCAGCCACCAACCCTCCCCGTACTCCTCTGCGGCTTTGAGACGATGTTTGCCATAGGGACACAGTAGTCGGGTATTGTCTTCAAAAACCAGCATGGGCGGATTGACAACATCAAGAAGAGCTTCTTGTGTCGTATTGGAACGTAAACGACTTCTATTCAAGTATCCTTACTGATGATCACAGCCACGCGGTGCTCTGGTTCGAAATGAGAACACCCTTCGATGTTGAAAATATTGACTAATCTTTCCATGTTGCTCCTATCTAATGGCCGAGAGCCCAACACACCGTTACTTTCAAATGCTAAGTGGCGCAATTCCACTTTTGCACAACCTCGATAAAAACGTAATCTTTCTTGAATAATTTGGTCTGTCCTGTGGCCAAGTGCATTGAAGGGGGAGGATTCCATTTTGCGAGCTTGATGTCAGACTGTCAATTCCAACTGTGAGGCAGGACAAACTTATACCGCGGCAAGTTTCGTTGCGATCCATTTTTGCTGCGAGCCATTCCTGTCTGATGGCGAGTCTGTTCAGACTACCGAGCCTTTCCAGGCTATAGGTCCTTTGAGACTTCCGAGTCTCTCCAGACTATAGATCTGTTCAGACTGCCGAGTCTTTTCGGACTGCTCGGTCTTTTCAGTCTACTGAGTCTGTTCAGACTACTGAGTCTCTCTGGACTTTAGGTCTCTTCAGAATGCTGAGTCTCTCGAGACTACTGAGTCTTTCCAGACTACAGGTCTCTTTGGACTGCCGAGTCTCTCCAGACTATGGGTCTCTTTGGACTGCTGAGTCTGTTGAGACTACTGAGTCTCTTCAGACTGCTCAGTCTCTTCAGACGACCGAGTCTTTCTAGACTAGTAAGTCTATTTGGACTGCAGTCTCTTCAGGCTGATGCCCGGACTATATTTCTTTATAAACAGTTCAGTCTTATACTTCTCTTGATCTGGGTGGGAAAGTTTATGAATCAGCTAACATTTTGGCACCTCTGAAGACTGGTCTACGCAGAAAATTCACCAACGTAATCCCAAAATTTGGCACCAAACGGAAGAGCTTTCAGAATATGAGGTGTTAGGCTCCAAGAGCCAGAAGGCGTGGCTGCCATCATAAAATCGTGCTTTTATTTTGTGAATGAATATTAAATTAGCATTCTTGTCCCAAATTTGTCGCAGATCAATCCTTACCTTCAACAGCTCTTGGATTGTTGCCTTGGTAGTCATCTCAATAAATTGACGCGTCATGTGCGTGGCCTTCTCGGGCACTCTATGAAGTGAGCCATAACCTCCTGGCCTTGCCGAAGGATCGCTGAGTTCACTTGCAATATCTCCCACTGCTTTGATGTCATATTGATGGTCTCTTAATGTTTTCCCACTCAGCATGCTATCTCCTATATTTGCTAAAGGTAGTCAGTCAACTATGTCTCAGTCCTTGATGTTCAACTGCTCACCAATCTTGATCTCTGCCGTCATGGTCAGGAGAACATTGATGCAATTTAGGGACCCGTGGATGATTTTCAGCTCTGAATGGATGTAATGAAGACCATTGAGGACTTCCCGGCACACGGTAGCGATGTCCCCTTCGCTGAATACCACATTTGGAGTATTAGATAATCTGGCCAGGGCAACAGCTGAATGTTCGTACTCGTACACCAGAGTAACCTTATCCGAGTCGTGGAAAAATTCCAGGAGGCTTAACACGTTCTTATGTGACGTCTTTTTCAATTGGAAAATTCGGAAAGAGTTCTTTGGATTGATTTCGACCGCGCTCAGACATTCTCGGATGATTCCTTTACACCGCGACAGCAACAATGGATAGAAGAACAAGATGAGTTGATGGATTATTTCGTTGGTGTTCTGGTAAGTTTGAGACTCACATTTTAGTTATGACCCGTCTGATGTTCAATTCCCTAGACAGCGGACCATAGAGACGGCAAAATCATGTGTACCTGATTATGTTATTATGAATACATCTGAGGTTTCACCATGGACATTCCCGGAAAAACTCCTGGTGCATACTTGGTCGATAAATGTTTGATCTATGATTAAATTAATTTTCTTTGACAACGCTGGGGGTGCCATGTAATGAAATAATATAGACAACGAAAGACAGTGGCTAAAGAATGAATGTCTAACCGCTGTCGCTTCTGACTAGAGAAGACGGAGCAAAGAATGAATACGAAGTTGAAACAGCGTAGCGCTCTTAAGCTCAGTGCATAAACTGTAACCTCCAAGATATTATCTGATGTCCATGCTATGCAGGTCCCTCAGCCACATCTTTGTTCAAGCAAGATTTAGGTGGGCTATTCACCTCTGCAGTGAATTGTAACAAAACTACTCTCTAATTAGACCATCGGCCAAATCTGCATGTTCTAGCAGCATAGCATCCTAGAGGTAAGCTACGGAGTACGGAGTGGTCATTGGATCCCGGTCTTGATGATGATATAACCTTAAAATAGCTAGGTAAAAGCAGCAACTTAATGGTCTGTTGGCCAATAGAAAGAAGAGTAAGATGTTATTGTTGAACACCAATTAGAACGATACATTTACTGTTAGGTGGGGAAGGTGAAACTAGGTGCTGAAAGTGAGCAGACTAATCACCTTAGTCGCGCGACCGTCGTGCGACGATCACCCCCATCGCCCGCCCCTCACCCAGGTCGCGCGAGCTCAGGGCGGCGACGCTCACCTGCTAAAACGAGAAGGGCAGTCGTCCGGGTGCTCGTAGATTTTTGCTCGGTAGGTAGGTGGCCAGTCATACTAGAGGGGAGGTGTGCCTTCCAGAAAAGGTAATTAGCTGCCTAGGTGGCACGTTCCTCCCCATTTCCTTCTATACAATCTGAAATTGTCTCCTAACTTTCCTCACCATCCTCACACAAAGCTCTCTCCATCCCACCTCACCGTCGACGACTGCATACAATACTCGTGTTTCAGTCTCTTCAACTTCACCTGTCTCCTCGTCGTGTTTATCCTCGGGGCTTGCCAGAAGCCACCGTGAGGACGCTAGGGACGTCAGTCGAAATGTGTGAAAACGAGCGAAAACCTTTTGTCATTGTCTCACATCATGGCATCTTCAGCTCCTGTCACTCTATCGGCGAGGAGAAAGGAGGCACTTAGTAATGCGACAATCCAGATTATCCAAGAACTTGGCGATAACCCTGATCCCCACCAATTTCAAGAAGCATTCAAGAGACTGAAGGAGATCGTCAAACTCTCCAAAAAAAACCGAGACCAGTAAGCTATGGAATGGCCAACTTTGCTATTACGCTGACAGATTACCAGATATCAATACCAGCGTCCGACATCAAAAGTCTAGACGATGTTGTAGACATGTTTGGTCTTGACTACCGGAGGGGCAATGGCAAGTATTGGTGGCCATTTCCAGATATCGCTGACATCACTCCTTCACCGGAGATCGGTATGTTCTTAGTAACCTAATAATGGGCAGCCTTGCTGACTTCAGATTAGAAACGGTCTTATGCGAGATGAGAGATGCAGGTTTCTGGAGAGCAGGCTCTACCGAGGCATTGTGTAGGACATACATTGACCTTGTCCTCTTTGACCCCCTCAAAGTCCATCAGCATAGTCTTGCTGTAAGGAACTTGTCTCTACGTGGTGAGTACCGTGTCGACACCCAATCTCTCGGCGAGCAGCAAGTCGTCGGCTTCGCCGATTAC